TGGTGGTGGGTGTTTTCTCTGGTGGTGGGTGTTTTCTCTGGTGGTGGGTGTTTTCTCTGGTGGTGGTAAGCCTCCTCGACGAGTCCAGCATGTCGTAGATAACACTGACATGCCTATAGCTGTGTGGAGACGATTGAGCGGTGGTGATGGCGGTGATAGTGGTGGTGGTAGTGGAGTTGTGGTGGCTCTAGTGTTGGTGGGGTAGGTCCTCGAAGTCATATACCTGCGTGGTAGCCTTTACTGACAGACTTTCAGGCTTTGTGGTGGTTGATGAGGCTGTGTACTGGATCTCTCGGGGGTGAGATACCAGGCTCAGTGGACGTGGCCGCCTTGTTCTGAGAGACGGTGATGCACTAGAAAGACAAGTGAAGACCATAGGGTGCCTTGTTCGGACCCGTCACATCCGACAGGGTCACCGAACCTGTTGAGGAGCAGGGGGACGTGGATTTATCTCGGTCTGAGACATGGGAGGTTGACCATAGTGTGTTCTTGCTCCGGACCCGTCACATCCGAGCAAACTTCGCAGATCCAGTGTGGGAAGCTGGTGGTCATGGCAACCTCCTGTGTTTCATGGTGTTAGGATTCGCGACATGGATGTCCAGCAGGGTGAAGGGGCAGGTCAATCAGCATTCGAGGTCCGGTCTGCACGTCCATTGCGGGGTTGAGCGTGTGATGGTGGCGTGGAGGGGAACTGGTTGCAGCTGAATATGGTGGGGATCTGGGGTTGCCTGGGGCCGGCGCGCTTCGCGAATGTATTTTCGAGAGATGAACTTCGGCTTAGTAGCCGCTTGTTGTGAGAGACAGGGGAGTCCAGTTGGGTACCATGAGCAGAGGCAGTGGGTGAGATTCGGAGGTGCTGCAACCAGTTCTTGGGCATGTGAGGGATTTAGGGGTTGCTGGGATCATGTGGAGGACTTTGCCATTTGTGACTCGAGTTGGTCGGATGGTTGAGAGTCACCTGAATCTACGGCTGCTATACTAACGCAACCAGCGGAAGGAGTAAGAGTTGTGGCGGGATCTACCGTTCGGAGTTAGCTCGATCGTGCTTGACACTTTGCGTGGTGAGGTGAGACTGAAAGTCAGGAAATCACAAAAAAATGGAACCTTCAAGTCGTGCTCATTTCTCTTCCACTTTGAATTCACTCGCCGTGCACCTCATCTCGACCTTGCTCTCCTCGTGATCATTTGCAAGTTATGCTCATCTTACCGAGTCATGCAGCCTGTATCCTTCTGCTCAATTCAATCGCTGTCTACCTCTTCCACCGGAGATCATAGTAAGTTGCCAGCACTGTCATCTGTCCAGAAGATTTCTTCGCTCACCACCCGCTTGGGCTACGCTAATTCCGAATCCAGATACTTTGCATCTCCATGTTCTGGCGACGGATGCTCAATCTCAACGCTCCTGATCAATCTCTCGTGCTCCGCCGACCTTGGCCTAATGTCACACTTGAACGGCTTCGGATGACTAATGAGCCCGGGCAGGAAACTGACTTCGGGATCGACCTCCTTTCCATTGACGTCTCTGTATTTCCTTACATCAAAAACTGCCAGGAAACTGGCGATTGTTGAGAAGAGAGTGGAATCGGCGAAGAGCTTTCCGGGACAAATTCTTCGTCCGAAACCGAACGAGATGTTGTGTGGATCTGGCTCAGCGCAGTCACCGAGGTAGCGTGAAGGATTGAAGACATCTGGCTGACGGTAGACGGCTGGATCATGAAGCATGGCCCACATGTTCGGAATGAGCAGACTGTTCTCGGGGATCAGGTAGTCGTTGTACACCTCACCTTTCGTCGTCAGGTGAGGCACACCCATGGGAGCCACGGGGTGCCAGCGGAGGACTTCTTTGATCAGAGCGTCGACGTACGGCAGAGATGCGCGGTCTTTGAATGTAGGTAGGCGTGACGTGCCGACGAAAGCATCAATCTCTGTCTGCGCCTTCTTCTGTGCGCCAGGGTACAACGCCATCGCGAGGACGAAGCACGACATCGAAGACACTGTCGTGTCAGCACCGCCAGTGTACAACGAAAAGGCTGACCAGCGAGCAATCTCCTCAGCCTCGGGAGTCAAGTTTCCCTCATCGGTTTCGATCAGCTTGGAAAGGTATGAGGGATCCGCGTCGCCTTTCTTGAGCTGCCTCTCCACGAATGCGTACGGTCTGTCCGCCACGGCATGAAGGGTCGCCTTCCAGTGACGTGCTGTGCGCTTGAACCCTGCACCAGGCAGCCATTCTGGCAAATACTTCAAGGCAGGGATGACATCTACCATCCATGCACCAGGTGCACAAGCCTTGGAGAATTGATCCACACCTTCATCCGCCAGGTCGACCAAAGGGTCATGTCCACGAGGCTCAATCGTATACCCATAGCCGATTTTCAGTATGACGGCACCTGCTTGGGTACGTATTAAGTGCAAAACGTCCTCGGGCTTCTCGAGGACTCGGACCAGAAACCGACGCGTCTCCAGCTCAATCAGTGGTCGAAACGGGTCGATCGCAGAGGGCGTCCCAAGCACAGCGTGGAGTGCCTTGCGATAGGCACGCACTTTGGGAGAGTACGGCATCATCGCAAGTCCTCTCTCCCAGCCACAGAGCTTTGAACCGAACTCGAGAACCGGACGAGAGGAAGTGAAGGCCGAGCGCTTCTCCATCAGGTCGACGGCAATCTTGTAGTCGCTGATTATGATTATGTTCTGTCCGAGTACCGACAACGAGCTGATGGGACCATACTGCTCCTTGAGCTTGAGCCAATGAAGCCATTCTTTCGCGCCCGCGGGTGGGAGATCTGGGATATTCCCGATGAGCATTCGTGGTTTGGGACCGGGTGGCAGTGGATGGCTGCTTTTGAGACGTTGCCTAGAAATGACTGATCTGTATGCAAGCAATGCTACTGTCAGGAGAATCAGAGTGGCAACTAGACCTTGCATTTGGTCGAGTTGAGCCATGGTGTCTTCTCAGTCCGGCTGACGAGGGAATGATACAGCGAGTTCTCACCTTTCTCACTTTTCTCACTTTTCCATTGTATTTATTCCCTCCGACAACGACACGCCTCAGGTACGGCCCCATCGATCGCTGACTGAATCTCCGGCCGCAAACTCGCCGGCTGACGAGAACTGTGCATTGATACTGTGTAGATGCTTATACCTTTCTCAACATGCCTACCTCTGGACCTCCGCATAAATAGCCCGACCTCGGTTCGGTCGAATTATCAACAGACATAAAGTACGAGTACTCCTGGATAGGGCTCGTTATGCACCGTGTACAAGGATACAAACAGGAGTCCCAGCTGCTCATAGTCAGGCTCTCAGACCCCAACCTCTCATACCCACCAATCCCCTGAATGGGAGTCGTGGTTTTCCTATTTCGACAGAGCGAGTGGGCACGAGCCGGTGTTCAACGCTGGAAAAGTGCGCAACCCGCATCACGGGCGCGATGACTTGTTCTGTACAATAGTACCGAGCACTGTCAGATGCGTAGTCTAGTGTAAGGCCAGCCCCCTCTACCGCTATTCACTGCTGGGTACAGTGGGAACGGAACTCGAGGCTTGTCTCTGTCCTTGGGTGACTGCGTGACTGCGTGTAACCCCCGGGCTTAGCTTAGGTAATGATACAACCCTTTTAGGAAGGAACCCGCCCGTCATCAGCATCACAGGCACGCAGGGCACGAGTACGAATAATGGAGTCAGGCGGGGTTTAGCACCACCACCTGCAAGGCGTGAGATTATCACCCAGCTTTGTCGATCGATCCGCCCGGCAGGCGGGTCCCTGAAATAGCAGCAGCATAAACGTACAAGTCTGGCACGTACGGAGTGATCACGGAGCAATTCGGGACCATCTCAGCGTGGAAGGCGCTACGAGTGGGAGTAACTAGATGGGGTAATTATCATACATCCTACCCCAGTATCTGCACTGGTGCCAGTACAGTACTGGTGGTACTGGTGGTACAGTAAACGGTGGTGAGCCGACGTCGTTACATTCCAAGGTTCGCGTGGCGTACGTACTCACCAGTACTTGGTAAGGTACTCGGGTCAGGTACCGGGTACTGTAAATATCTGCGGCGTACACAGCAATCTGTCCTACGAGCTACCTACTACGGCGCTGCGATTGTGTACCTAGTGGCTTGAATATATATCTTCGATGATGTTGGTGTTGGTGTTGGTGTTTAGCCTGCACCACTCTCAACCGCGTTATATATGGGGGCTCTCTCTCTCTCTCTCTGTGTGTGTGTGTGTGTGCTTCGACGATTCAGCATCAGCTTCTCTGCATACCAGGTAGGTACTATACCCGGCCAGGTACAGTACAGTACAGTGCGCGTACGGTAGAGAACAAAGGCTCACGCGAGCCCGCTGTACGGAGTACATTGTAGGAATGCGTTTTGTTTTGCTTCGCCTGGAATACTTTGGAATACTTCAGAAGAGACACGTCCGGACTACCACGGAGCAACGCTCAGCACTGGGCCTTACTGTACGATCGGTATATCATGGGTGGCGGGACCGGGTTACATACTTCGTACGTCGTAGATGAAACGTGAATGTCTGCATGACCCGTAACGGGTGCTTCGCGCCAAAGACAGCAGACGGATGTACTTGGTGGCTCGCAGGGGATATGAGTAGTGAGCTGTCATGCCATCCCGCTGTGCGGCTTAATCTTAGCTAGCGAAGATGTTGTCCTCGAGATTTGTTTTCGGGAATTGAAAGGCCTGTCCGCAGAGTGCGCGGAGAAGTTATCTTCGGGATACTTTCAAGGGAATTAAGCGCTGTCCGCGGAGCAGAGCGGTGCCATTGTGAAGTGACGCATGCGTGCTGTCGTCTGTTGTACAGCCAAATCCATCTATCTCGTAGCAACTGTCTGGGGTATCTATCAATCATATTTGTGGCATCAGCCGGGTATCATGTTCATAAGCTCATGTCTCGTTCAATTCAGCGAGTCATGACGACCGCATGTATTCTTCCTGGTCCTCCCCCTCTTCCTCTTCGTCTTGATCCTCTGCGATCATGCGACTAGCGGCACTAAATAGGCCCGTAGCAGGAGTGTATGCCGGCGTGGTAGATGCCAGCAATTGGCTTCGACGAGCCGCCGGCGTGGCCGGCACCAGTGAGTTCTCCACTGCGGCTCCATCCTCGTGAGCTCGCATGGCTGCTTGTCTCCATCTCTGCAAGAGTGCTAGAGCGCGTTTCTTCTCGTTGCGTTGGCGTAGCGTGTCGGCGTCTTCTTCAAGTCTCTTCGCTCTAAAGGCATAGTTTCTCATCGTTCTCAGCGCAGCTAACGTGTAGGTGGCAAGTCTCGTGGCGCGGTACTCGTCGGCGACCCGCTGATTTAAGAGAATCTGTCTGGCGGGCATGAGCCAGTTCGAGCCGAAAATCCCGAACCGTCGAACCAAGGTTTGGTGGTAAAATTCGTCCGCTAGCTTCTCGGCCCGCTGCGTTTCTTCGGTATGACGGTACATCGCGACGATGGCACTGTGAGCCATCTTTCGGGCGTGTTCTCCTTGCTTTTGGGCTCGAAACTCGTCCGCATTGGCGTGCATCTCTCTGATGCGCCGCGTCTTTTCCCTCCAGAGGTTCAGTGACGCTCTTGCGATGTTTTCTTTGACCTTGCGACGCATGGTCTTGTAGGCTGCATTGTATTTGGCCTCTTTGATGTCTCTGACAGCGAGTCTCCATTTTCGGAAGTACTTGAGGTAGAGGATGTGGGTGCGGGCTTGAGCAATCTCTTTCTGGGCGAGTCGAGATTGAGCTCTCGCGCGTAGCTTTTGAAAGGCGTGTTTCACGGCGAAGTAGTCGGCCGCGGCCTCTGCACGCTCATCATTGACTCGGATAGCTTGAGACTGTGCGAGCCATTGATTGAAGATCCTCCGTGCGAGGTTGCCTTCGTAGATCGTGACAGCGAGGGATTCAGCCTCTTGATGGTGGTGATGGGTTTCAGAGAGGCGTGCTAAGACATTTTGTGCTGCGTGGATTTTGCGGAAGCTGTCGGCGTAGTCCTCCAATTCTTGGATCCGCGCGGTCTTCTCTCGCCAGATGGCGAGGAATCTGGCCGCTGACCGCCTTGTTCGTTCACGGATGAAGACCGTCTCGCGCTCGGCGAGTGTCAATGCCCTCAATACTCTAGACGCATCCCTCTCAAAGCGCAATCTGGCTGCCATAGCTTCCAAGCTTTTCACATGCTGGACGCGCGAGCGCCAGTGATCAATGGTTCTCTTGGCCAGTTTGTATCCGTATTGAGTATCAGCAACGGCATTGGCTTCAGCATCCTCATATTGCTCGTAAGCCGCGCGACGTTCAATGACTCGATCCTGCCAAATATCTATGACCTGTGAGACCAATCTGCGATTGTCGAGGGCGACGGCTTGGCGCCAGAGGGGTTCGTTCTCGTCGATGGACTCGACGGAGTGTGGAGAGGATGGTCGAGGGGAGGACGTGGTGGTGGTGGTCAAGGCAATGTTTGCTGCCTCTAGGATTTCAAAGAATTTGGCGTCCAGTGGGATGTCGGGGTCGATTCTGGCGAGATCAACGATGAAGTCAAGGCACACTCCATCGTCCACACCTTCAGCGACGCCATTGTTGCCTTCTTGGAGTCCGAGAGCGCGCCACTGCTCGTTCAGGGCGGATGCGCCAACACCACCCCCGGCACCGACAACAAGCTGGTAGAGCCGGTCAATTTGACCGGCAGAGAACGCGCCCACTGTGCTGGCAAAGCGAGCCAGTTCCTCTGGCGTCATTCTGAAGATGCGCGCCAACTGTAGGTACTCATGCGTGGTCCAGATGTCGGATTATTGGGCACTTACAGAATACCGCTCGCTCCCTTGTGCCCGGTGAACGCCAGGGCCTCTTCGCGGGAGGACGCGTGATCACGTGGTTTTCTGCAGCGAATTCCGCACACAAGCCCATTCCGGCGATCACCACCGATTCTCAGGCTTGAAGTATCCACTTTGCTATCGATAAGGCGGGTGTATTTCTTAAGACAAGTTCAAAAGGCGACTTCCCAGAAATCACCCTGCCTATTACTGAAGTTAACCACTGCTCAACCGATACTCTTTCCTTACTCGAAAGGCTCATCTACGATCATGCACGCTGGATTTGAACCCTCTACAGCTCCGTAGGAGCTACCCTGTGACAGGTGGATGGGACATGCTCCTATGTTGAAATGATATTACGGGTCGTTTCTGAAGGCATGGCCAGCCACCATAATGGCTAATCTGCCAAAAGAACTATAACCAGCAAGATCCATTCGACGAGCTCAGACATGCGACACGATTCCGTTAAACAGGGAGTCCAAAACCAGTGAGCACGACTTACTGATCGGCTGCAGTCTAGCACTCCACAGTTATCCTTTCTACGCACACTTCTTGGAAATAGAGTCGGGTGACCGGATTCTTGATATCTCGATTCCCTGCATAAAGGGACGGCTAAGCCTCGAAACTTCCGTGACGCAGGCCCCACAAACTTGTCTTGTCTTCTGACGGGGGCTTGTCATGGGAGTATATCTGCTTGACAGCAGCAGCCTGTGCCGGGGAGTCCTAGACTACCATGTCGCCTCCCGTCTAACTCTGTCAGCCCAGCCTGTGCTTTATACAGAGGGGCTCGATCTACACGTCAAGGGCGGCACCAACAATCAATGATGATCCCTGGCTAGGTTTGGAGATGACAATAGCCTCCTGGAGCTTCTCTTTGGTGATGTCGGGGAACTTCTTGTAGTAGTACTCGCGTTTGAGAGCTTCAGTCACAGCATCAACCTTGTCCTGCGGCACCAGGTGGACTGTACAGCCACCCCAACCTGCACCTGTAAGTCGAGTGCCGTAAGCACCAGCCTTATGCGCGATTGCGCAAATCTCGTCGATCTCGGGACAGGAGCACTCGTAGACGTCCCGACACGAATCCTGCGTCTTGTTCATGAGCTCACCGAGATATAGCAATTTCTCTTCATCTAGCTTTCCGGACGTCGTCAAAGTATCGCGGAATTTGAGCACACGTCGAGCCTCTTCGAGGACATGCAATGCTCGTTGCCTCAACTTGAAAGATTCCGCTCGAATCGGGAACTTGGACATATACTGCTTCTCCAGTTCCTCGACTGAAATACCCAGGATGTTCGCGATGTCGTCTCTTGTATAGCTCTGTTTGTCGAGCTTCGACTTGATGATATCGATTATCGCATCCACTTGAGATGCCATGGGTTCGTCCAGGCGGCCTTCTTTCCTCATTATCTCCTCCTGAAAGTTCCGCAAGCAGAATCCAAGTGAGCTCTGGTCTGGGTTGAGAGCAATGTCGTGCAACTTGGCCAATACCACGGTTGCCAGGGTACATTCCACGACTCGAAGGTTGTAATGTATCGGCGCTGTTACAGCCTTGTCAGAAGTGACGAATGACTGAGCTACCAGAAACGTCACTTCTGGGTTGGATACCGGGACAGGGACATTCTCTGCAGAGAAGGTCGGGAAGAATCGACAATACAGCAGAAATCCTCTCTCTGAGAAGATGGACGCCGCCTGATCCATACCTCCTGAAAAGACTCCGACAGAGCGCTCTGATACTATACAAAGGTCTAGGAGGTCCTGCTTCGAGATGTCATGGCCGTTGGCTGCCATAACAGCCAGGGCTGAGGCACACACGAAGGCTGCACTACTGGAAAGGCCACCCCCGGCTGGGACGTTGCCGTCGATGAGGAGGTCCATGCCACGGGGCTCGAAAGAGTCACCAAAACGTTTTCGAAGATATTCCATGGATCCTTTCAGTCCGGCCAAGAAGTAGTTGCTCCAAGAGTGGTTCTGCCGATCGACGTCGACCGTCCCCGAGCTCGGTATCGTATATTCCTTGGAGGGGTATTTGTTAGGATCCACGTTGGCAATCTTAATTATAGGCTCGGCTCCGCCATCCCGTGGGAGGACACGGACAGCAATGAGTACGTCAACTGTGACCGCAGCCGGCAGGACGTTGTATAACGAGTAATCGACATGTTCACCGATGATATTGACCCTTCCGGGACTTCGAGACACAAATTCTGGTTTCTGCCCGTATTTGTTTCCGAAGGTCTTGATCAAGTTGCTGAAGCGATGTCGCAGCTCAGGGGGCACGTCGTTGCCCTCGCCGGCTCCTGCATATACATGGTCGAGATTGTCGACCTTCGGTACGAGTGCAGCCATGTTGAGTGGGGAGGATGTGCTCAGCGGGTCTGGACTTCGGCTGATATTCCTTCTGCCACCCGCTCTGGTGCTCTTCGTCGCTATGACGTCTGCTGAGCTGAGTCGCGTGCCCAAGGTGAAAGATATATTTGACAAAGAAACAAGATGTGGTATAGTTCTCCCTGGTACCTTTTCGATTCTATGCGAGCAACGTCTGCCAACATGCGCTACAACAGATGGATTGACGGCCTCGGATTATCCAAGTGCCAGGCTGGAAAGCGGAAAACCCATGTTCGTTGAACGGAGAACAAGTGGGGCGCCTACATCGATGTCACTTCGGAACGGAACAATGTAAACACGAGAGTTCACACCCATGCCCCTCTCATCCTTCTCATCGCATGTGGGCTTACCCTTGGAAATCCTGCCATTGCACGCGAAGCTCTCGTACGCTGGTTCAAGCAACGGTGCTGGAAGATGTGCTATTAAGGCTTCTCAGCTGGCGGCGCGACCGTCTCTCCTCTGCCTCAGGTTGCGACTTCGTTTGTTGTTTGAAGAGCTCACACAAGGCCTTAAGCAGTGGGAGGAAGTCCCATGAGCCCCGTGGACGATTTACAACTGGCGTGCCCATGATCGTCCTTCATCAAGAAAGCCCAACGCGTTGATCCAAGCTATAACGCCTACTACCACATGCACAAGGCCAAGCTCGGGCGGCTGTGCATTGACTCAGTAGGAGCGGAATTCATGCCTCACCGTAGTAGAACTTGACTGCGTCCCCAGATAGGTGTGACCAGCTGCTCAACATGAATTCTCCGGAGTGTTAGGAGCCGCTGATCTGAAATGACCCCCCCAGTGTACGTCGGAAAGCAGCTGTCGACTAACCAGAAGCAATGCGATGATGGCTCTGGACTTGACAGCGTGTTTGAAAAGTCTGCTTTGCGCGAAGGCGCCGTCTACATGTTATCTGCCAGTCGAACCTCTAGCGGGAACATCGAGAACATCGAAGGAACCAGTAGATGTTTGAGGTGAACTTGAAATGGAGAAGGAAGCTGGGTGTCTTCAAGTAGGTGGAAAGCCAACAGTCGCTTGCCGCCTGGTCTTTGCCCTATATGCTCTAACCTTAAGCGGCTAGCTCACTGCAGCAATTACGTCTTCGTCTCCGTCTCCGCGGTCGATTGCACCTGCATACCTGCAACCTACTGATCCATGATCAAGCCATTTTGCCTGGATTGACCTTACCCCAGGAAAAGGCAACCAGCGCGCCTGTATCGCATTGTTGTCTCTATCCCAGGGTCTCATGGTACGCGCCAGCAAAGGCGTGCCGTATCACCCTCAACTAGGGCAAGCGTCTGCCATCCAGCATCTGCAACCTCTTACCCGAGCCTCCTCTCCTCTTCTCTGGTCCTCAACCTCACAATGAGTTCAGAAGACTCTAATACGACTCTGCCGGAGAATACCTCCTCAGTGCCTGAGACTCTTCCTCAAGAGCCAGGTTCCCGACCCTGGGCGCCCTCACGTGCCTCAACGTTCGGACCAAAGTGCTGGATATGCATGAGCGACAAGAGTGAAGATGACCCTAATAACCCTCCTGTCTGGCGGTCGCCATGCTCTTGCAGTCTGACAGCTCACGAAGCATGCCTATTAGACTGGGTAGCCGACCTGGAGAACCCGAAGAACAAGAACAAACACTCAGGGCCTATCCAATGTCCGCAATGCAAATCCGAAATCAAGATATCGAGACCGAGGAACTATGTGGTAGAAAGCGTTCGCACTATCGATCGCTCCCTCGGGAAGTTTGTCTTACCTGGCTTAGGACTGTCTCTGGCCGGCGCTCTATGGGCTGGAGCGTGGTTTCACGGATTTCAGTCAGTTTATTTGGTGTTTGGGCACCGGGACGCGGATCGAATATTCAGGTATACCGCTCGGCGCCCAGAGTTTGTCTGGATGTACAGCCTCATACCGGTCAACCTGATTCTGGCTCGAACAGATTATGCCGACTTCGCCTTACCGGGCAGCAGCCTGGTCCTTCTTTCCACCCAAATCACCGACAAGTTCGACATTGACTATACCATTTGGCCTCCACTACCAAGTACAGTGTTCGCCTGCCTTCCAGCCATGAGGTCGTTCTACAACTGGTGCTATCACAAGGCTTTCTGTGACCTTAACAGAAAGTGGTTGGCAGAGGTGCAACCTGGGCACGTTCAGCAACCAGGTGAAGCGCAAGCTGAGAATGCAGAGGATTTCCAGGAGGAAGAGCCGCAAGAAGGAGACGTGCTTCTTGAAATCGAGATCAATGATCATGGCCCAGTTGTGGAGGAAGATGAGGAAGGCGGCGCTCCAGCAGGTGGTGATAATGACGGAGGTGGAGTACAGCCGCAGCAAGAGAACCAACATGTCCAACGAATATTGCGCCAAGAATTCATAGAAACTGGCAGCATCGGGCAGACGATCCTTGGCGCATTAGTGTTCCCAGCGGTCGCAGCAGGAATGGGCAACCTGATCAGCTTTGCCTTACCCACGTCGTGGCTGACGTACCGAAACTACACAAATGGTCGGCCAGGACTGCTGTCGACGAAGTGGGGCAGAAGTGTGGTTGGCGGATGTCTGTTTGTTGTGCTCAAGGATGCGATAATGCTGTACTGCAGGTGGAAGTTGGCGCAGTCGCATCGCCAGAGGAGGATAATGAACTTCGATAAGGAGACGAAGAAGTATTCTGTATGAATACTTCTGTATGATATGACTGCAAGCAAGGTGCAACAAAGTGTCCATGGATGATGGAATGGCGTAAGCGAGCAGGCAAGCGAATGAGCTATGATGAATCGGCAATGTCTTCTTCACTCAATGATAGATACCCAATAAGACGGTATGCTCAGGCACATGGTGAACTGTGCGACCCTTGAGACTGTTGGCCCACTGGACGCGGCTAAGAAAGTCAGTCGGAGCAAGGCTGAAACACGCAAACACGCCAAGCTCAGCCTTGCTGCAGAAAGTTTGAGACCAGAACTCGAGGTCGTCCGCGGAGCTTTCTTTCCCGGTCACATCGAAAGAGACTGACATCGTTCTGGCGCCCGCAGCACCATTGTTTTACGCCTGTCATCGCAGAGCCTGCTCTCCCCTCATCTGCGTGAGAACACCCGCGATGCACGGCTCCTCGCTGCGAGCCGCATTGGCCAATGTTTTCCAGATCCCGCTCCGGCCAGCTTTACGGAGCGCACCACCAGCCCGTGGACCAACGCACTCGGCAACCCAGCCCACAGTCCGAGCAAGCATACTGTCGAAGTCGCAGTTCTCGACGACCACGGTCCATAACGCGAGGAGTCGAGGCGGCGCGAGGCCGGATCGGCGGATAAGTGCGTATTTCTCTCCCCTCCAAGGACATGCCTCCTGATTCCTCCTCCTTCTCTCTGTGTTGTGTACCCGTCAGAAGCACCAATATATTCGCCTTGTCTTGAATCCACGTCCAAATTTCTACGAAGCAACGACGGCCCCTTACGGCTCGAGCCCCTGGTCTACATTTGTTTCTCCAACTAACTACCCATACCTTCAGCTTTGATCCGTTTCTTCCTCCACCATCCCACGACGCTGACGCCACGGCCGCTCCGCTTCTCCCGGAACAGGCACCTCCGACACTGGACGATCACGCGCGCGTGGAACCTGTACCGGCACAACGTGAAGAAGGCGCGCGAAATGGAGCTGGAGAGACAGTACAACGCCATGAGGGACGCGAACGAGGAGTTGCGCCTCGGCGCCGGCGATGGCGGGCGGCTGTTCCGCAAGGCGCAGATGAAGACCGGCGTCTGGGGGCTCGGCTCCAGCCACGTCGGGTCGTCGGGGGCGAGGAAGGGCGGCGGTGTCCCCATCGAGTATGCGAGGGGGTTGGTCGAGTGGGTGGGGAGTACTGGCGGGTTGGGCGTTGGGACGCAAACCGAGGGTGATGTCGAGGGGGAAGGGGAGGGTGAGGGCGATGGCGCAGGAAACGCGGCCAAGCAAGCTAAGATCTGGGATCACGCGTGGAAGAGGCATTGATCCTTTGTGGGTGAGAAGGGATTGGGGGAGCGAGGGAATTCACAGTAGTGGTATCCTGAAGACTGGATACTGGATACTGGATATTGGTGGATGGTGATCTTCCTGAAGCAAGCGAGCGAGGAGCTGGAAAGCGGCCGTTGCAGGGGTTCCGCTTGACTTGGGAAGCATTGAATCTGTACCATAGAGTGGAAACGGGTGGGACAAGGGTCCAGGACAGCCCAGGAGTGTGTCCCGGGTTCGAGTTCTGTCCAATGGCTCTGGATGGCCTGATCGGGGCTGCCGACGAAAACGAGGCGCTTCGAGAGCAAAACACTTTTTGGTGACAGCTACGCAAGGATGCCTGACGTTGGACACGCTGGTACCGATGCTGGACGAGGTGGATCTGGATTCGGTCAAAGGCAGTCAGGCGACAGGGGCCAGTCTCGTGTGAAAGGATGCATCAAGGTCAATGGGACATATATGTACAACAAGGGACTGCCGACAACTTTTGTCTCTCACTCACTCCAACGACGCCAAGCTGCCCGTATTTCGGAACCACATGGCCGCCGAACTCCCAGAGTAAGGAAGGCGTCTTTCGTGAAATATCCATCGTCGTTGCCAATTCGCTAAAGTATCAGTAAGAAATTGGTCGTCAGGCATGCATTACAAGCATGATATGGGCAAAGTGTATGCGTATGCCGGATTGGCATTGTACAATCCCATCATGATCAGATCAAAGTTGAGCTCCGAATGCGCCATTCTTGAAAGTACGACTGGTTTGGTAGGAGGATGTCGAACGTTTCTTCGATTCAATGCTCAGCATATTAGTCGCCTCGTGCCGTCCGTCACAGTAGCTCATAGAATAACACAGCATCCACCTCCACCTTGTTTGCCGTTGAAGGTCAAGAGAGCAGCTCTGGTTGCGGCCTCGAAGACATCGTCCACTCCTTCTCCGGTCAAACTCGAGCACTCGAGATATTTCCGCGCACCGCATTGCTGGGCCATCTCCGCCCCTTCTCGGGGACTGACGAACCTCAGGCTCTTCTTGCGCATCTCCTCAATCGCGATGGGATCTTCTCTCAAGTCCTTCTTCAGACCGACCAGAATGACAGGCACATTTGGACATCGTTCACGGGCTTCCTCGATCCACTTATGCCGTACGTTCTCGAGACTGTCTGGACTGTCGACACTAAAGCCGATAAGAATGACATGTGATTTCGCATATGCTAGAGGCCGCAGTCTCTCGTAGTCTTCCTGACCTGCCGTGTCCCATAGGGCCAACTGTACTGACCGGCCGTCGACGCGGCAATCTGTGACGTAGTTCTCGAAGACGGTCGGCACGTAGTGAGTAGGGAAGTAGCCGAGCGTGAAGACTGATAACAGTGAGGTTTTGCCGCAGGCACCGTCACCTATGATGACGAGTTTCCTGTTGGCTGGTTAGCCACGGGAATCCAGATTGCGGCCGTCGAGCGTCCATACCTTCTCATAACATTCTGTTGAGCCTGATTCTGGGCCATGGTCGTGGATATCTCTCGTGGCTCCGTCCACGAAGCTGCCAGGTCACACCACTGTGCGATTGATGAATGGGCAGGCGGCTGAAGAGGCTACGACGAATACAAGCAGTCGCAAGGCGAGTAGAGAAGAGGAGGAGATGGCAAGAGCCCGAGTCTTAAAGTCGCCAGGCCAAGGGCTAGCTGAAGTGAAGTCAAGCGAAGTGGATTTGGCGTGGTGTAACTGGGCACACAACTGAGGTCGCATGCAGCGGGTATCTTCACCCACCGGCACCCGGCACTGCCAACCGCGGTTTGTTGTTGTTCTGAGTAGCTGAGGATTGAATATTCGCGGCTCTGAAGTCTGAGACTAGCTCGCTGGGAGGTGGTGGGGTCCAAATGTGAAGAAGTACGGATGTTTGAGGCGCAGCCAGGAATAGTGCTTGCTTGCCGGTCACTCGACGGCTAATGATGCCACGCAACGGCAGGGGAGGTGTGAGGCTGTCGCTCAAAGCGCCTGGGTTCTCAGTCAAGTCGTCTGTCTACTACTCAGGCGGCAACGTTGCCGAGTGCACTGTAGGCGGGTGAAGGGAACTGTAGCAGTGGTTGTGCAGTGGTGTTGTAAGTGACTGGGAGCAGCGGCTTGAATTGGGCCTGCCTCTTGCCTGCGCCGCCAGGAACGCACCGCCGTGGCTCTTCTCAGGCAGCGCACAGGCCCCGTCAAGCGCAAGTTGCGTGCCTGGTCTTGAGGCTCCGTCGCCGCCCCACGGAACTGGACTGGACTGACTGACTGTCTGCGCTGCTGGACTGCAGTCACTGTCACTGTCACTGTTCAACAGCCAACGACTTCCCTTACACTCGCCAGACACTTGCAACCACGCACCCTTCCTGCCGCACCCTCCCGCCGCACCTTCGATCTCTGCCTCGATTTCCTCTTGTGGTGCTCGCTATTTCTTCGACAGCATACCGCTTCGTCCGTGCTTGTTCCCTCCCGATTTGTGATACCCCACCAGCAGTGAAAACCGCAATCAGCCCGACTTTGATGTCAAGCTCTCCAGTTCAAGGTCGCTATAGGGCTTAGCCACGCTCCCTTGACTGCTTGGGCATCATGCCCTCCAAGAAGAAGGCCAACACGCAGGTTCATCCCGCCATTCCACAGCCACTGCCCTTGAAGAAGACTGCCTCTACACAACCCTTGCCAAAATCCGGCCCAGCCACTTCGTCCACCCCATCTTTGAACAGTCAGACTGCTGCCACGAAGACGGATGCCGATCTCAGAACGGGCGACACCACTGAGTCCGCCGGAGAACCCGCTCCAACTCCTGCTGTCAACCGCAAAAAGCAGAAGAGGCGAGAGAAGGAGGCTGCAAAACGAGCCGCGGAGCAGGACAAAACCGTCAAGAGTCTCCCAAATGGCCACGTAACTGCGGGCGCCAAACCCAATGGCCAACTACCGCCGGTCAAACAAGGCAGAGGGCCGGTCAAGGGCTATTTCACCGAAGAACCGGACTACCAGGACTCTGCAGATCCTGCATACCCGGAAATTGAGAGTCCTGAGGAAGCATTTTACAGCGGCGACGAGGATCCCAACGGCGTAGAAGGTGCAGAAGCGGTCCGCGACAGTTCGTGGCTCAACACGAGCAAGCGAAAAAAGTCAAAGACGACAAACGAGACGCTATCTAGGACCTCCACCATGCTCTCTCGCTCCAATATCCCACCTTTGTCGAGTGCGGCCATGCGAGCCTCGCAGCGTCTGTCGAGCGACCACATCTGGAACACTTCGACGCAGGCTGAACGGGAGAACATCAAGCAGTTTTGGCTGGAGCTGGGCGAAGACGAGCGGAGATCGCTGGTTAAGGTCGAGAAGGAGGCTGTGCTGCGAAAGATGAAGGAACAGCAAAAGCACTCTTGCAGTTGCTCCGTCTGTGGTCGCAAGCGGACAGCTATCGAGGAGGAACTCGAAGTGCTTTACGACGCCTACTACGAGGAACTTGAGCAGTTCGCCAATCACAATACGGACCTCTCGCAAGCGCCGCATCTAATACCACCCCGAACGACGTACAATAGAGCGCATCCGATGGCCGGCTCATACCCTTCGCGGAGTCGAATAAATGAGATCGATGAGGACGAGGAAGATCTCGAAGACGATGACGACGAGGAGGAGTACGACGATGAGGACGACGAAGGCTACAGCGACGACGATGGCGAGCTTGACGACCATGGATTGCCGCCTGGTCCTCCCGATTTCTTCCAGTTCGGCAATTCTCTCACGGTCAAGGGTCTGGACCTACTGTTCATCCGTTTGGCGAGGCAGGACTGACACATTGTACAGATGGCATCCTTACGGTAGCAGACGACCTGCTCAAGAATGACGGGAAGCATTTCATTGACATGATGGAGCAATTGGCGGAGAGACGCATGCAACGTGAGGAAGAAATTCGTTATCCTTCCTCGGCTTTTGCTCATCGAAATCTCCATCAAGGTCACAATCATCCTCCCATAGACGACGATGATGATTATGACGACGAGGAAGACGACGAGGAATATGACTCGCAAGATGAGGACGACTATGAGGGCGATGACATGGTCAGTGGTGCTCGACGATTGTGTACGCGGAAGCTCTGACAGATTTGCCTTAGGACTCCATGACCGAAGAACAGCGCATGGAAGAAGGTCGCCGGATGTTCCAAATCTTTGCCGCACGGATGTTCGAACAACGCGTCCTAACAGCATATCGAGAGAAAGTGGCAGCAGAACGACAGAAGAAGTTGCTCGAAGAACTCGACGAAGAGACTCGCCTGGACACCCAACGAGAAGCGAAGAAGGCGCGAGAAGCTGCCAAGAAGAAGGAGAAGAAGCGCCTTCAAAAGCAAGTCAAGGACGAGGAGAAGGCCAAGAAGGATGCTGAAAAGGCGGCTCAAGAGGCTGCTGCCCGAGCGGCCGAAGAGAAGCGACTAGAGGAGCAACGCCAGCGTCGAGAAGAACAGAGAAAGAAACGAGAAGCTGAAAAGAAGGCTGCCGAGGAAGAAAGACTCCGCAAGGAAGCTGAAAAGCACCGAAAGCAGCAAGAAGCACGTGAACGACAGATCGAACAAGAACGCAAGGCCCGGGAAGCCAAAGAGCGCGAGCGGCAGAAGCGAGAAGAGGCCAAGAAGAAGGAACGTGAGGAACGGGAAGCCAAAGAAAAGGAGGCCAGAGACCGGAAGGCTAAAGAGGAACTGGAGAAGAAGGCTCAAGACGAGCACGTCCGCAAACAAAAGGAAGCTGTGCTGAAGTCAGAAAAGGAAGCCAGGGATCGTGCACCTCAACCTCAGCCGCCGAAACATCAGCCTGTGGCACTTCCACCAGGCCTGCAACCTCCATCCCGGGGCCCGAGCCTACATTCTCCTCATGTTGCTATTGCAACACCGGCCATTCCTCCCAAAGTTCCGACCCCTGTACGGAACAGACAGCCTTCACAGCCTGGTCCGGTTTCTCACGGCTCGTCGCCACGGTCCCAAAAAGCCAGCACCGATATCTCGAGGAGTTCCGTGTCCCCAGCCACAGCCGTAATGCCGCAGACTCCTGCACAGGGTCAGCCTGTAAAGACGCACGGTCAGCCCCCACCGTTGCACCACCCACAACCTTCCGCCCCGAGATCACCGCTGAACAATCACGGTCGAGGACAATATCCATTCCACATGAATGGCCTGCCAGGATTGGGAGTCAGTGGTCCGCCGTTGGGGCCTCCTGGGATGATGCCCACTATGATGCCGCCAATGATGTATCAAGCTCCTCCCATGATCAATCAGCAGAGATTCGCTCAGAATGGCCTGCAGTATCCACCAGGATTTCCGCGACCGTTCCAACCAGGTCAGCAGATGCCATTTGTTCCACAGCCCCAGGGCCAAGCACCTCCGATGGTCAATCAACAACCGGTACCGCCAAATCCTCAGATGCATTCCAGACAGCCATCAAACGAGCACGCTCTCACAGGCCGCCCCGGAGGGTTAGGTCCCATTGCTCGACCATCTAGCACGACGCCAGACAAGCAGAAACCGGTGGGGAAGACGCCAGATGCCGAGGTGGAGCAGTTGACGACGCAGCTGGGTAGCAAAGCCCTCTTGGACGATTCAGATGCCCCATTCGATACGGCCGATCCGCGAGCAAATCTCCCGCCTGTTGGTCCACCCGGATCTGCGAGGCTACCCTTCGTCAGCAGTTTCCCAGAACACAAGCAAGAACCCTTTGGAATGGGAGGTCCTGGTTGGGGCGGCTTCAATCCTGCCATGACACCGAGTCCAAATTGGGGACCGCCCGGCGTACAGCGACCTAGCCCAGGCTGGGGACAGCCGCCATTCGGGGCTATCGGTGGCCCTCAGCCCATCTCAAGGTCACATCTACCTCGTCCAATCGCAGTAAGATTGATGCTCGTTCAAGCATGTCGTCAGCTGTCCCAAAGTCCAGCCGCCAATCCCGAAGGTTATCATCCTGTTCAAGCGGTTCTGCGTCAACTCGAAACTCTCAAAGTACCTGGAGAAGCGTCAGTGTCGATGGACGAGATGCTAGGGATTTGTGACACGGAAGGCAATTCACAGAATGGAGGGGGGTCCTTCGAAGTGATCATGGATAAATCCAGAGGACAAGTGGTCAAGTTTGTCGAAGACACCCCTAGTCAACCACCTCGAGGCAGCGTGGGAGAGATTGGCAGTCCCATCCTGGGACACAGTCAACACATCCACCACACAAGTCCCCTTGGAGGCATTGTTGGGCAGCCAGTTGGTCCAGTCGGCCAGGCGAGCAGCTTTGGACCTCCAGGCCGGAACTTCTAGTGGTTGACCCCGCCTAGAGTCAAAACGGGGAGAGAGCAACAGAGGGAGTCTAGCGAGAGTTACCGCTCGCTGCTGCAGCTGCACGCCCAGCAGTATGGGAGGAGCATGTCGGCAACCTAGCCATGCTGACGTGGCCCACTAAGGTTTCCTTGTTTCTTCAGTCCGGTGTTGAGATGGCGCGGTTCTTTTCCCGTGCAGAGTCTTCTTTTGGGGTTCTTGTAGAGGCAGGAACGGTGTCCGACAGGGACCGTATCCAAGAGCACCAATATCTCTTGGTGATGCTCGCTGTCCCTCAGGGGCGCGCATCGCCCTACCGAGGCAGATTTAGCCATTTGCGGCACAATAGCTGAATACTGCCGATGCATCCTCCAATACTGCAGAGTCTACTCCGTACTGATCCTGGTTTTCACCACTGTTTCCCTGGAATAGTAATGTGAATAATGCGTTGTCAGGCGATTGTTGATGCCAATCCCCGATGTATACACGGCATTAAAACGTCACCGCGGCATTTCATTTCTCGCAGATTCGAGAGGTGGGCTGGGCCTCGATGGAAATGGACGGTGCAGTCGGTCGCCCTATCGTACATGTAGATTGTCGTCTCTACGACGCTGTCGTTTATACAGGTTTCCGCGTCGCTTGTATATCCCGCGCAATGCGCACACGCACACGCAAACGCACTTAATCGCCTACAGTATGTATTCAACCTTTCGCCGTGTCCGCTCCTCGTCAATTCTTCCCGCTTTGGCCATATAGCCAGAGCCAGAGCCCGAGCCAGAGCCAAATCTTCTCCACTTTACGCAAACCCGTCTGACCATGGTCCCTTCGTCCCCTACTGACCGACGACAAGACTATCCAACACGCCCGCCGTGTAGCGAATGACCCGGTCGATGCCCTCGCCTCGAATCGCACTCACAGGGATGGCGGCAATGCGGGATTTCCAACCGTTGGGCTTCCCGCTCGGATGGGCGATCGTGCCGTGTTCGACGGATTTCATGTACGCCTGCAGGGAGAGGAAGTTGGATTGTGTGGATGGACCGCTACGAGTACCACCACCACCATTACTTCCGGTGGTGCCAGTATCCCCGGGACCGGGAGAGGCGTTGCCACTGATCGAGGGTATGTCTGCTTTGGTTGCGATCACGAACCACGGCTTCGCGCTAATGGGTGGGTAAGTCAGTGGTTCGAGGCCCGGCTTGCCGCCAGACGCAGAGGGCGAAGGGAAGACGGAGATCGGGGCGCCTTCTTCGTTGACGAGCCCCCCACTTCCGCTTGCTGCTGCTCCTCCTGCCGTTGACGTGGGGGAGCGTGCCTCGAACGGTGACCACGGGACGGTTTCACCGCCGTGTTGTTCCGACTGCGCGTTGATTTCGCGGTCGCGCAGGTTCTCGTACTCACTGACTTCCTTCCACAGGGCTTTGAGTTGCGCCACGGCGTCCCCGGCGGAGAGGTCGACGACAAAGGCTAGGATGCGCGCGCGCTCAATGTGTCGCAGGAAGGAGAGGCCAAGGCCTTTATCCAGGTGGGCGTCCTCGATCAGTCCTGGGATGTCCGCGATGGTAAATTGCTGGCGGGGGATTATGGCCGTGGAAGTGGACGTCGAGTCTGATGCGTTGGTAGAAGGGCCTGGCGAGGGCGAGGACGAGGGCACGCCGCTCCGCACGAGGGGCCGGCCGACGTTGTTGTCTAGAATCACGGTCCCGATGGTGGGGGAGAGCGTTGTGAATGCCCAGTCTCCGATGCGGGTGCGGGAGTTGGAAATCGCGCGTGTGAGGGTGCTTTTGCCGGCGTTGGGGAGGCCCACCAGCCCGACGTCGGCGAGCAGCTTCAGCTCGAGTTCCAGCTTGATGCGAACGCCGAGGGCGCCCTTTGTGGCGTATTTCGGCTTCGGGTCTTCCTTTGTCGCGAAGTGCGGGTTTCCTAGGCCTCCTATGGCGCCCGCGACGAGGAGCATGGGACTTTCCATCTGTTTGTCCAAGTCGAGCGTTATGGGCGCGGGCGGCTGGAGGATGGAGAGGTGCGAGCGGCGGGGTTTCATGATCGACGAGGTCAGCGACGGGAGGGTGCCGGCGATCTGGGTCCTGTCGGCGGTGGTTGTCGCGCCGGCGTAGATGACGAATTTGTTCCGCAGGCCGCTCTGCTCGGGCGGCAGGGCCAGGATGTCGTCGTCGGTCATCGTAGCGCGCAGCTCCTTCAGGCGGTGTTCCTCCTCGACGGCGGGATCGCTCCGCCAGATCTCCCGCACCACGGTACCCACGGGGACTTGTACGCAGATGTCCTCTCCTCGCCGCCCACCTTGCGATTTGCCTTGTCCGCCAATGCCCCGTCCTGCTTTTATGATTCCCCTGCGGGCTAGCTTGTGTAGAGAGGTCTGCCCCGACACGGCTTGGATGTAAATGCTTCCTCCACTACCGCCATCGCCTCCGTTCGGTGGACCATCAGAGATGTGGGCGTCGCGGAGGAAGGACACGCAGCCGGAGCCGCCGCTGCCGGAGGCAATGGTTATGACGCATTTGTCAATAAAGATGCTGCGCGAGTAGTCATCCGGGGCTGGGTTGAGGTGGGTTGAGGTGGACGACGTTGTCGATGTCGGAAAGGTTGGAGGTGGTTCGAGAGCGCTAGACCGGAGAGAGGCATTCTGCTCAGAGAGTGAAGGTCGATGGACTCGTGCCGTCCGGTGCAAGTCTCGTTGTATGCACTTGGGTAGATCTAGACGTAGACGTAGACAACGAGATGGAAGAGACTTTGAGGTGGACTGGAAGAGGCAGGGGTACAGAAAGGGCATCAGTGTGCCTGGAACCGAGTTCATCGTCACCTGCCGGTCGGGATCCGCCTCACACGTCTAGCCTCATGACACCGAGCCTGTAGCCTTATTGCACCAACCTGTCGCCTGCCCGCAGCTTGTTCTGCACCTGTCTCCAGTTCATGGAATGTGTTGTGGAAAAAAGTCGGCTATTCAACATCGCCGGCGGAGCGGAATTGTCACCGCGAGCCAAGCACTCCTCCGTACTCGTATCTCGTATGTCCGGTCAGCCGTGAATCCGCCGTGATCATCGTGAGCCCACACACTGACCTCAGCAAAGCTTGGCCGTCGTCTTGTGATGTCTTGGCCATTTGCTTGTTCTTGCGTCGTTTTCCTCCCTCGACCACCTCGAGCGTACTGTGCCAAGCATGGTTTCGAAGCAAGAGCTGGCAAGGCGAGTTCTGCTCGGGGCAGAATCGGTTGTGCGCCGTCCTGCGCTGTCCTGCGCTTAGCCTGGGGGAGAAATGCCGCGGTAGATCGCCAGGGATACGAGAGGCTCTCCAAATGTGCCGCTTCACACTACGACGCCACTATCACGAGGCACAGCTACAGTGTCTCCAACTGTCTCCAATCCGGGGCGAAACATGGTCGAACTATTATTGACTTCGTGGGGGTGAGTTCGGTCAGTATGGACGAGGCTCCGTACCCCCATGTGGTTCAGAGCAATAAGGACTACTGCTGCAGGGACTGCGTCTACCGGCTGGAGATGTGGCTCGTGGGATTGAGGACGACATGACCCCACGATGCACCACACAGGCATTCCAATATACCGAGCGAGGCAGACGACATCCCGGATGGGAGAGGTACGACTCAGAAGGGAGATCTCGGTTCATTCCAAAGACCCCGTACCCACCTCCTCGCTGCAGCTACACGCGACAGTCATGGCTCGTGGCATTGAAGGCGGCATGACCCCACGAGCTATTCCGCGCATAATCTACTATACCGTATGTGAAAAAACGACAACCCTGGACGACACCGGTGTGGTTGACAAGAGAGATTTCGGTTCACTCCAACGGCGCTGAGCCAACGTGCTCTGACTCCGGCAAGAACGTGCCGACATGATCGCTATGCTCGGCTAGCAAATGGGCGCAAATGGACGTGCTCTGCCTCTTGCGTAGGCGCGGCGAAGATTATCCATGACAGGTGCATTCCACACGCTGGAAGGGGGAGGGGCTTAGAAGGGCACAAGTGCTTCTTGGCTTGTGTCTGCCTCGCTTGTTCAAGGACGATTGACATTCTTCTACCACGCGTCAGAACCACCGACGCATCGTGCGACTACAGATGATTTGGGAAGAAGTGGTCCGCGTTCGCTTTCTCCCACTCCCCATCATGGGTTAGGACAACCTCTACCGGGATTCCATTCAGGCCCTCACGTTGCAACTTCCGCAAAATGTCCAACGTCTCATAAGCCGCGTCAAGGTCCTTGTGGATAGTGACTGTCCGGCCTTTCTCATCTTTCCACGATCCAAAGTCTGTCTCGCCTCTGAAGATCCGCATGTGGTGGCATGCATCAACGGCAAGGTAGATCCATTTGTCCACTGCAACTCGAACCAGCGCATTCAGATGGCCAGGGAGGTGCCCTGGGCTATCCACGATATAAATGGTTCCATCGTTGAACATGTCGATGGCGTTGTGGATGGGAGACAAGCTTTGCCAATACCACCCACGGGCCTTGTCAAATACTTCGCCCTTCTTCGAGCCTGGCACTGGTGGCAGCTCAATCGTGCGATCTGCCGGCAACAGGTCTCGCTCGAAGAAGGGATTGTACAGATCTGGGCCCATCTCATTCCTGAGAAGTTTGTCCGTATTGTGCCCGGCAATGAAGGTCGCTGATGTGAAGTCGGACGGGGTGCCAGTATGATCCCAGTGCACATGGGTGATGATAACATAGTCAATATCTGAGGCCTCGACATTGCCGAGGGCCAAGGCTGATTTCACATCGTTCTCGCTACACAGCGGGATCCTCGTTTTCAAATGTGCCTGAAGCCCCGGGTGTAGTGTGGTCAAGTCTTTGCGGATGCTCAGGTCAAAGACGATCTTGGATTTCGATGCTGGATGCTGGATCAGAAATGCCATCGATGGCATGGTCAACTTCTCTCCATCCGGGGCGTCTGCCAGAAATTTCGACGCTGGCGGCGAGAGGTAGCCACAGCTGAGTGGTGACACGGTCGGGTAGGCGATAGTCATGGCGAGGTCCTTGGCTTGAGTGCTCTTCACGGCTGTCTCGGGATTGTGTCTTGAATTATTGATGATGCTGCTTCAAATCATGTCGAGCACAGCGAGCTACCTTCCGGTCGACAGCATGCCAAGACTGGCGAACTTCCCTGTATTCAGCGGTCAAACTCCGACGCCACCACGATGAGGTCCCCCATGCCTCCACGCCTATATCTCCAAAGTCGTGGGGGCATATCGCGCAGGAATGCTGCTGCTTGGTGCCAAGAACAGCAACAACGGCGGACTTGGATCTAGGAGCTTGGCTATAGCCAATTTCCGCGTACTTTCTGCCGGTGAAGATGGAGATCCCGAGTCAACATTATCCGAGCGCTGAGAATATTTCCTGGAAGCAAAGTGAGGATGGCAAATCAGGTCAATGAGCTTCTGAATCACGAATACTACCGAACTGCTATGTCCGATGAATGCTACCAAAGCCCAGCGTCCTCGACCCTCCTCGCTACCAGTCGAAGACATCCTGTGCGCCTGGCAGGTGGAGGCCAAGTCGCCTCGGAGACTGTAGCTTGCGGATGCGACCAAACAGCCAGGGAAACTTCGTCTGCTGCTTTGTCTCAAACTCATAGATCTTCTCTTCACTCATCAAAGTGTTGCTGATGTCGTCCAACCCATTCAGCAAACAATGCTTTGTGTACGCATCCACCTTGAAGCTTGCGATCAGGTTACCATCAGCATCTCGTATCTCTTGATTCGGCAAGTCCACTTTGACCTCACGCTTAGCGAGGCCTTCAGCATGGATCTTCTCCACTGCCGCGGAGTCGTCAAGTGGAATTGCGAGGAGGCCGTTCTTGCCGGAGTTGTTGAAGAATATGGATGCGAAAGAAGGGGCAATGACACATCGGATGCCAAAGTCGACAAGGGCCCAGACTGCATGTTCTCGAGATGAGCCGCATCCAAAGTTCTCCCCGGTACACACTAAAATCCTGGACTGGCGATATGGCTCTTGGTTCAGAACAAAATCAGGTATCTCCTCATGCGTGGTACTGTCGTAGCGCAATTCCTGGAATAAGTGCGGGCCCAGGCCGGTCCTCTTCGTGGTTTTGAGGAAATCTCCTGGGATGACCAGGTCGGTATTGATGTTTCGCATGTTGAATGGAGCCGGGACAGAATGGAGAACGTCGAATTTGGGAATGCCTTCGACGCTGCGCTTCGCTTGCTCAGCTGGCCGCTTTGCAACTGTGCCATTTAGGCTTTCCGAGTCTGGTGCAGATGCGCTGGAAGCCACTTTCCCGTAACTGCTGACTTTGTCGCCTTCCAGCGTCAGTTGGGTCACTGCGATGGATCCATTCCCCGTGGTCAGGAACTCCCTTACATCTGTCAGGTGACCTTTGATGGCCGCTGCGGCGGCCATTGCTGGGGAGACGAGATGAGTTCTGCCACCTGGGCCTTGCCTGCCTTCGAAATTTCGATTCGTTGTGGAAGCACATCGCTCGCCAGGAGTAAGCACATCCGGATTCATGGCAAGGCACATCGAACAGCCGGCTTCACGCCAGTCAAACCCAGCAGCTTTTAGGATCACATCTAAGCCCTCGCTCTCCGCTTGCTGCTTCACGAGACCTGAGCCGGGCACGACCATTGCATAAACGGAATCTGCCACCTTTCTCCCTCTCGCCACCCTTGCGGCCGCCCTCAAATCTTCAATCCTCGAGTTGGTGCAAGATCCAATAAAAACGCGATCAATCTTGATATCTGTTGCAGGCGTCTTCGGCTTCAAGTCCATGTATTTCAGAGCCCGGCGGATAGCGGCGGCTTTGAGTGGCTCCTCCTTGTCAAAATCAGTTGGATCTGGAAGGTGACCAGTTATCGGAATGACATCGTCCGGCGAAGTGCCCCAAGTAATGGAAGGAGCTATATCAGCTGCATCGATGTCGACAGAGAAATCCCAACGCGCGTACTCGTCGCTGTATAGCGTCTTCCAGTATGCCATCGCTTTGTCCCACTCAGCCCCAGAAGGGACAAGTGGTCGTCCTTTCAGATACTCGAACGTCACTTCGTCCGGTGCAACCAAGCCGGTTCGAGCGCCTCCCTCGATACTCATGTTGCACAGCACCATCCTCGCTTCCATGGAGAGGTTTCGAATGGTTGAACCACAGAATTCAATAACACACCCGGTGGCACCAGCCGTACCAATCTTGCCCAACAAGTGCAAGATTATGTCTTTGGAATAGACGCCCAAACGAAGCTCTCCTTCGACCCGGACACGGAAGTTCTTGTACTTTTTCTGAAGGACCGTCTGTGTCGCCAGCACATGTTCAATATCTGAAGTGCCACCGCTCACGGCCAGGGCGCCCACAGCACCGTGGGTAGGGGTATGCGAATCTCCACAGAATAGAGTCGATCCGGGCAACGTGAGTCCTTGCTCCGGACCTACAACATGCACGATGCCCTGGCGTCGGTCGGACATACCGAAATATCTGATGTCGTGCTCCTTGATGTTCTTCTCGAGCAGTGTGATTTGAGTCCTGGCCTGGGGCTCTTTGACGAAAGACACTGCATCCTGATATTTCGATCGGTCGTCAGTCGGCACATTATGATCAACCGTTGCGAGGGTCAAGTCTGTCCTTCTCACTGGCCGATTGTTCTTCCTGAGTCCGTCAAATGCTTGGGCCGTTGGCACCTCAAAGATCAAGTGCGAGTCGATGTACAGCAATGGTGCCTCCTTGTCATCAGGGTTGACCAGATGTTCTTGGTAGATCTTGTCGTACAGTGTTAGAGGCATCTTGGCTGTTTCTTGGAGATGATCGTGTGCTCAGCAGGTGGTGTGTTTACAATGGTGCAAGCATTATGTTGAATGGATGCTCCCGTCACGTGTCCGGGGAGTCGCCGGGTCGTGGGGGATGAGGACCAGGCGATCAGCGTACGACCGAAAATGGGGGTGGAATGCCCTTTCACATCGGCAAAACGGAGTCCGCACCTACGGCGGAGGCACGGGAGTCTCTCCGACTTCAATCGACTCCAAGGCGATCCGTCACGCAACGCACCGGTCAGGACTTCCACGTGGTTTACCATCAGGTAAGGGACAGGGAGCAACCTGATCCGGGATCTCCACGTGGTTCACAAGTAGGCAATGCAGAGGGAGGAAGGGGACGAGAGAAAGGAGTTAGGCTTTAAGGGCACAGTTTGCTTGCGGCTATCGGTCTATTGCATCAACGTCCCTTACAGCCTCGCGCTCTCGGCGGCACTGGCTTGAGATACCGAGTCCGTCTCTGCCTTTCCCAGAATCTGCAATAGAGCAGTCACAACAGCATCTCCCATTTCCGTTGTAGTTGCGGTTCCGCCAATGTCACCAGTCCTCACTTCCAGACCACCGGCGGCCTTGTCGTCGAGCGCAATGCTGATAGCCCGGTCAATCGCGTCTGCTAGCCAATCCAAGTCGCAGCTGTACCGCAGCATCATGGCGGCACTTTGGATTGTAGCAATGGGATTGGCGCAGTTGGGAGGTAGATCCGGCGCCGAGCCATGGCTCGGCTCATACATGCCTGTGGCCAGAGGCTCCCCAGGAATGCCGGAGAGGCACGCTGACGGACTGAATCCGAGGGAGCCGGACACCGCAGCAGCTTCATCAGAGAACAAGTCGCCGAAGATGTTGTCGCACAAGACAATGCCATTCAACGAGCGGGGGTTCTTGACCATGATCAAAGCCAGTGAGTCTGACAATTGATGGGTGAGAGGAATGTCCGCAAACTCTCGGTCGTGGATCGTTGTCACGGCTTCCCGCCAAAGTCGACACACTGCCAGCACATTGGCCTTGTCGACGGAGGTGATCTTGCTGGGCCCCTTGGCCCCTCCGTGTTTGCGTGCTAGATACGCCGCCATTCGGGAGATTCTTTCGATCTCCCAGCGGTTATATCCCCACACGTCGTGAGCATAGTCGGGCTCTTCCTTCTTCTCGCCAAAGTACACGCCGCCCAGATTCTCGCGGAGAATGATGAAATCTGTTCCCTGCACAATGCTTTCCTTCAGCGGCGAGCATTTGGCCGCCCCTGGAGAAGGAATCCTGCATGGGCGAATGTTAGCCCAGCAGTTGAGGGCTCTTCGCAAATCCAGCACCGAAGTCTCGGGCCTCAGCGCTCCGGTCATGCCCCATTTTGGACCACCAACAGCACCGAACAGCACGGCCACGGAGTTCTTGGCCTTTTCGATGACTTGAGGCGTCAGAGGAATTCCATGGACATCGATAGACTGTCCGCCTAGCAAGTCGAAGTCGAGATCAAACTTGATGTTCTGCTTGGCAACACTGGGATGACTCTCCACGGTGCGCAGTACTTTGACAGCCTCGCGGATAACCTCAGCGCCAATGTGGTCGCCCGGCAGCACAAGAATCTTGAAGGATGGCATATTTGCTTCGAACTAAGAGGTTGGAGTAGTCTAGCTTGGTAAGTTGCCTTGATCATTCACAAATGTCTGGGCAGATACTTCGCGTTTTAAACGAGGACCGGTGTAAAACACCGAGATGCATCATGGACACCCGTCGACAGCCCCCCACGCGGAAGGGAATTGTGCAACCGGCCGTTCCCCGGTAGGCTCCTGAAGCAGAGCAATTTCCATATCCTGTTATTTCCTTATGCAGAGCAGGACGGCACGACTTGGGGAAGGGCCTTCACCCATCCGGAGAATCGCCGAACTAGCTTTCCCCAGATTTCAACCGACCAGGGGATCTGCAGTGGGGGTTGGATCATTGTTACCTTGCATGCGCTATGCTCCCCACGAGCCTGGCAATGGTCACGGCCACCGAGCTTCTCCAGATATTCACGAGACACGGCAGGAGACCCTTGGCATAAGATAGGTCTCAGGGATACATAAAGCCGGTGCGTGATGCCTGAGCCTTCAGCCAGTATCTCTCCATCATCTCTCTCCGCAGTCTGGACTTTTTGATCCCGCGGTTCAAAATGGCATCCGAGAAGGACAATGCTGTCCCGGCGACAAAGTCCGACATCAATCATGTCGAGGAACAAGCCATTGTTCAAGCCACTACCAACGGCGAAGAGAAGGTTGAGACTGTGGGCAAACTCGAAGCCCTGGCCGTCGACTACACCAAGGCGGAAGAGAAACGTTACCTCCTGAAGATTGACTTCATTGTCCTTGGATATGTCTCTGGTGCTTACCTGCTGGCATACGTAAGTCGACCATCTCTCCCCCCGCCAGGGGTTGTTCGTGTCTTTGAGATCCAGACGTGTTGACGGACCATTGTAGATGGACCGCGGAAATATTGGGAATGCCAACACCGCAGGCATGTCCGAAGACCTTGGCCTCACCGATAACCAATATCAATGGTGTTTGACGGCGCTCTACCTGGGATACATCCTTTTCGACTGGCAGACTGTCTTCTACAAGATCCTACCGGCCCGATACTACGTCCCCACGGTCATCATCATCTGGGGTGGACTTGCCGGCGCCTGCGGAGCTGCTCAAAACTTTGCGGGCATGCTGGTCTTGCGGCTCCTGCTAGGCATCTTTGAGTCGTCATACAGTCCTGGATTGGCCTACTTCTTCTCGTTCTTCTACTACCGGAGGGAAATGGGGCGACGACTCGGCTGGTACGTCTCCATCGCTCCGCTCGGGGCCTCTTTTGCCGGAGCATTCGCCTACTTTGTCACCAAACACCATCATGCCATCGCCGGCTGGCGGGCTCTCTTCCTCGTCGAAGGCCTTCCAGCCGTGGCTGTGGGTCTGTTCGGCTACTGGTGGCTCCCCAGCAACCCTCAGGACTGCCAATTTCTGAACGAGAAGGAGAAGAAGATTGCTCGGGCCCGCCTGGTGCGCATGGTCGGCAACGTCGAGCGAAGCAGGAAAGTCAACTTCAAGAACTTCTTCCGCAGCTTGCTCGACCTCAAAAACTGGCTGCCCACGCTCATGTATTTCTCCTGCAACATCGGCTACGCCTCGTTGCCCATCTACAGCTCGACCATCTTGCAAGGCATGGGGTTCACCGCGATCCACGCACAAGGTCTTTCGGCACCACCGTACCTGTTCGCCTGTCTGGTCGTCCTCGCCATCGGCCATCTTTCCGACCACTTCCAACGCCGAGGCATCTTCCTCGCCATGTGCAGCGGCACCGGCGCCATCGGCTACATCATCCTCTGCACCGTGGAAAAGGTCGCCGTCAAGTATTTCGCGCTCTTCCTCGTCGCCGGCGGGCTCTACCCCTGCATCGGCCTCCTCCTCTCCTGGGTGGCCAACAACAACGGCTCCGACAGCAAACGCGGTGCCGGCTTCATCCTGATGAACTTTGTCGGCCAGTGCGGTCCGCTCGTCGGCACGCACATCTTCCCCAAATCTGAGGCGCCGCACTACAAGAAGGGCTTCTACATCAGCTTTGCTTTTTGCTGTTTCGCGGCCACGCTGGCCGTGTGTCAGATCTTCTGGCTGAAGCATCTGAACAAGCAGCTGGATCAGAAGTACGGGCCAGTCCGGGAGAACCGGGACAATGAGGACGAGATTGGCGAGGAGACGGACGATAGTGAGAATTTCAGATATATTCTCTAGAGGGGAGGAAGTGGGGGCAGTGAATGTTAAGTGTTGGCCGATAGTGGTTGGTGGGGGTGTGTGTGTGTGTGGGTGTGTGAGTGCGCGCGAGAGTGAGTGGATGTGGCGACAACCCGGTTGTGCAATATTGCAAGGGACGAAACTCAGAGACACCGATGGGAGCTGCACCGGGAGAAGTGACGATAGTGTAGATACTGCAGATAGCTCGTCTTGCTTGACATGTTGATATGCTGATACCGTGTATGCCGGGTACACGTTGCCTGGCCTTGAGTATTTCAGAGGGAATCATACCTTATACAATGATGCAAGCCCCGCGAAATGACACAGCGTCTGAGTCGATAGGTCCGACGGAGAGCAACTGAAAAACTGTACAAAGGAGGTACACTGACGCCAGCTCCATTCTCTCCACCATTTTACTCCTTGCCATGACTTTGTCACTCTGCCTGTCATGAATCATGGTGCCCTCGGTCTGCGCGCGGCTTATAATATCAGCAGCCGAACAAGGGGAGCAGAGCGAACGCGACAATGACAGCTAGGACCGGCTGCAATGCCTTCATGCCTTCATTTCGTTGTTTGTGTACGAGAGTACATGTGCTGAAGAACTCGAAGACTGGCAAAAGTGTCACTAGTCTCAGTCGGGCCTAGTGCCGTCATGTGACAGTGCTTGGGGTCGCTTGTGACTATGTCGGAGGACGTGATGAATTCAAAGGGGTCTGGGGACAGACCTGACTATAGTTACAGAGGCCACCTAAACAATGCGGTACTTTACACAAGGGGTCGTAATACGGTCCATGACACCCCTTGGCGCTGTCAGGCCAACTGTTGGGTAACCTTGGCAGTCACACGCGCAACCACAAGTGGCAGAGGCAATCGAGGTGATGCATTGCTCACGTAGAAGCTAAAGGCTAGAAGAGATATGGATCTTAGCCAACTTTCATGGTTTGATCGATGGGCGGCCTAAGATGCGAATCGACGAGATGTCAGATGTGCACGAATGGATCACAAGGCACGAGGTACGAGGTACTAGGTACGATCTACAACTTACTTACAGTATTCTGTGTTGTCTATGGATATGGCTTATACCTGGAGCTAGGTCTAGGCTCACCGTGCGTGAACCTCGATCATCAGGTCCGCATCCTGATCGGACTCAGTCCATCTTTCTGGGGTTCCTACCCCTTCATCTGCGTCGCTGTGAGGATGGTCTTCGCTGGTCTAGGGAAACATTCTCTTGACGAGTCTGCTTAGGCAGGACCGAAGCTGAAGATTTTTGGTGGCGAGTCGGTATCTTGCACCGCCACCGGACGGGGACGAGGCAACGTCGTCAAGACGTCCGAGAAGCATCAGTGGGCTCTCACGCTTCTTTTATGCATCCGGATTTTGCTTTCGTTGAGATTCATTTTCGTTGGCTGAGAACAGACGCTACGTGGCACGACATTCATCTCCGTTTTGGCTTTCCCCCCTCGACGTTTCTCGAAACATGTACATCATATATCCCTTCACTCGATAACCACGGCAACATGCTCGTCCATGTACTTGTTGATATCCCCCAGGAAGCACGCTGCAATGATACTGACACCCCCTGCGGCAATACTCGCCAGATAAACGTACTTGTAACTTTCTGCGTACGCTAGTTGTCCCGCAGCAACGACCATCTGATAGGCCGTTTCATTTTCCAGTCCTGGAATTGCCCTCAGGGGTTCGAGCAAACTCGCTCCCGTGAGCGTGATGGCCTCGGTGATGTACGTCACGTTGGTAATGCCGAGCTCGACCATCGTACCACCGATGTACTTTGTCGCGTTCGGCACGAACTTGGAGACGAAGACGTTGTAATAGGCGCAATAGCCAATCGAGCCGCCAATGACGCGGATCGAGAGGGTCAAAGCGCTGACTGTGGCGATCAAATCGTCAGGGCAGATGATGGTTGTGATGATCGAGGCAGGGACGACGATGCCACCGATACCGAGGCCGCCAAGAATGAGGAGACCCCAGAGCTTGTCCATATTGTGGGGTGTTGCACAAGCGAGCGCGCCGGAGCCTTTGGAGGCAGATGTCAGTTACAATTCGGATGATAGAACTGTTGCAAGCTTACCGGCGGTCATCAAGCAGCAAGAGATGATCATCAACTCCTTATTCCGACCACGAAAGACGGATAGGAGCCAGAGGCATATGCATGCTCCGGTCATGATGGCCATGCCTCCCGGGAAGACGCGTAAGCCAACGGCGGCCGGGTCGTGGCCATACACATTGAACGCCTGAGTAGGCCAGAACATGAGGTACGAGAAGAAATTGGCTCCGCTGATAAAGGTGATCAGAAGAGTGAGCGACAGAATGCGAGGGTCCTGCTTGAGTCTCTTGGGGAACATGGGATACTTGGCGCCATATGCTTCCCAGAAGAGGAAAGCAACGATGAGAAGGGCGCCAATGATGAGAGGGGCCAGTACGTGAGCCGAATCCCAGGGATACTGAAACTGGTGAGTATCCCGTCCGAATACGAGATCGGTACCAGAAACATACCTGGTAGCCACCCCATTGCATGCCAGCCATGAAGAGAACCATCCCGAAAATGCTAAGGAAGCCGCCGACGTAGTCAATCTCTCGCAGGATCTCCTGGTTACTTTTGCCTTTCGAATTGGGTCGGGGCGGAGGAAAGTAGAACACTGCCGTGATGATGAGGGCGAGTCCATTCCATACACAGATCTGTATGTCTGTTAGAATAGGCCAGATGCCGCAGTGATGCAAGTAGCTCTCTCCAGAACACCAGTGATTCGGGGGTGGGAAGAACTTACGATGATGCCACAGTATCGCCAGCTGGAGTGAGCTAGCCCTCGTCAGTTCGTTTGATCAGATGGTAGAAGGGCGTCAACGTACCAGCAATCATCTGTGCATAGAACCCAGAGGGCACAAACGGCACGATAGTGAAGATCAGGACCGCGACGTATGCGCCACGCTTCCTCGTTGGGGCCAGTTCAGAAGTGACCGCCAGAGCAGTGAGCTCACTAATACCGGCCGCTGCTCCGGCGATGGTAGTCCCAGCTGTCTGTGTTAGCTGACCAAGCTCAACGTCCGTCAATCGAGCTCGATGGCTTACCGATGAACATGTTCATCGACTTCGCGCACGTCGCAATGACACTGCCAAGGACGAGCAACGCAGCTCCAAGCAAGGCAACGTAACGTCGGCCCATCAAGTCGGATAGCGAACCCACGAACGGGCACACACCGGCCAGGGCAAGAAGGTTGCCCAACACCTGCGGAAACATCAGTGTGTCTGCCAGCCAGCAATCACATCGGCAACCTACAAACCAGATCCATCTGTCCACTCCGCCAATGTCTTGATAAATGTAGGGAGGGATACTGCCTGTAAAAATGCTGTCAGAAGCAGCTTTTCACTCTTGTAGTCTGAGGGCATACCATAAAGGTAGACCGGGATTTGACTGCCAGTCCACAACAAGGCCATCGCCAGCAAACTCATAAACCGTCTAAAGGTCATCTGGGGCGGCATTTAGTATCGCCTCCTCGCCAAGGCACTCTGGTGAGTCTCACCTTGGGTTCGTGTTCATGGTCGAGGTCATCTCCGTCGATGCGGAGGCCGATATTTCTCTCGACATGGGCAACAGACTCGTCATGATAGACGTGGGACTTCCCAACGGGTGACGGCGGTGTCTCGACGGCCACCCTGTGTGCCTCTACTGTGGTCTTTTCAGCCATGTTGGAGAATTGGTCTCGTTGCAATGGCTAGCAAGCAGTGACAGACTGGAATCCGTCTTGCGCAGAAAGTTGGGAAAAGGCAGAGAACAGGGGCCACCCAACAGATCGGCATCGCACTGTAGATATGCATTGACGGCCAGATGGGTACCGAACCTCGGCGCCCTTAGTGCCCTCGGTATCCAGCTTCGATCCAATGCTCTGATTGGAGTCTGTCAGGGTATGCAAGGTGGTACGAGTGTCCAGCGCTAGGGACCATTCCGTCCACAGCTTGCACATCCTGGGTGGATATTCCACAATGTTACTCTGGGGAGATGACGGGATTAGTGCCTCGTTGGGCTGGAAGGGTGCGGAGAAATGGCGATAAGAGGAAGACTCTATCCCAGATTTCCCACATAGTGGAGCCGTGGAAAAGTCACTATGCTGACAGTGCCAGGATGGAAAGGAGCGAAGACTAAATCAAACCTGCCGGCCGACGCATATGTTGTCATGATCAGGTTCGGGGGCATGAGGTGAAAAAGTATGATGTGTGAGAAAAAAGTGAAACGAAAGTGAAACAAATGTCAAATGTCGATGCGGTGTTCTTAGAGTTTGGCAAGCTTTGGGCAAGACGAACGCTCAGTATCGCTGTCCAAGTGCCTGCCGAGGCGGCCATCTCAATCACACATCTCTCCGTGTTGCTCGTGGTGCACCTCTGCTGGGGTAAATAATTAGCTCGTGGACTGGTTGTACTGGGTATGAGGTACTGGACAGCTCCACGTCGGAGGCAGCCAGATTCCTTTTTGCGGAGTGGGAGGAGCAGCTTTCGTGGGGAGAGTCGGAGGCGCGGCGATTTGATCCACTCACTGCTCGCCCCGCATCCTTTACCGAAGCATTCGACTCCAGATCCGAGGTGCTTTTCTTTGGGCGTATTGTGCAACTCTTATGAGAAGAGCCGGCAGCGACCCCTACCTCGTCCGATGACCTTCGATGCCGCGGACGCGATGAACACACAAATTTCACGCAAGAGAAAACGCTCCGCCATCGCCTGTACGCGTTGCCACGATCGCAAAGTCCGATGCAGTGCCGCATTCCAAGGGATACCTTGTGCAAACTGTGCTCAAGATGGCACGCCCTGCACCATCTACCAGGCTCAAGCCGCGTGAGTCGGCCGAGATTGATAGGGAGGACCGCAGCATTAATGCCACAGCTATTACAGCCGCCTGGATCAGCCCGTCGCGACCAGCGATGAGAGGCACAAAGTGATTTCTCCCCAATACCCGCTCACGCCAACCCCAAGTTTAGTACCGGCTACCGAGGTTTCACGCTGGACGGATGCCGCTTCTACTTCCCACACGAAAGACGGGACGGAAAATGCACATGCCCACGTGGGTTCGTTGGACAGTGACAGGCCCGTTGTCTTAGCAGATGACCCAATCGAAGGACCGCCGCGGACCAGCCCTGCAGGTCCAGTTCCCAACACTCGCCTGGAGCGCGTGCCACGAGAGAATTTGGTGCCATTTTATGCGGGTAGACGCCGAGGCATCCTAAGATTGGGTAGCGCTGACCGAGTTTCCAGGCGAGGTAGGAGGCCATGAGTTCCTGTTCGAAGTGTGTTCGCCAAACCGATCCTTGAGGGGAAGCCCGTACATTATCAGCCGCAATATACACAAACGACCACGCTTCAAGCCAGAGATTGGCTCTCGGCCACGCTTTCCGTCGGCTGTCTGCCAGGAACTCCTCCGTTGCTTCTTCGGCTACGTTTACCCAATTCTGCCCGTGGTCCACGCAGGCGACTTCCTCACCAAATACTCTCGTGATCCAAATAGCGTGAGCGGCCTGCTCCTCTGGTCGATTTTCCTCGCTGCAGCCAGCTACCTCGATACGGAAAGGTTATCCTCTGCGGGGTTCAAGAATCGGAAGCAGCTGAAAGAGTTCTGTTTCCAGCATGCAAAAGCAACGTATGACGCGCAAGTCGAGAACGACAAGACCGCAGTCATCGCCGCGACCCTGCTTCTCGGCTTTTGGTATGTGGACTTGGAGGACCAGGACGGGTCCGGCTACTGGATTGGCATAGCCATCCACCTCTGCTACACGATCGGCCTACACCGCGAACCCAATTATGCTCGACTCCCACGCTGTCCGTTCCCTGAATCACAGCGAGCGCTCTGGAGACGACTATGGTGGTGTGCCTACTACCGAGACGCCTGGTTTTGCCTAGGAGCTGGAAGACCGATGCGCGCCCATATTGATGATTGTGACTTGGAACTACCGACGGTGGAGGTTGTCACAGACGATTTCAAAGAGCTGTCACCGGAACTGCGAGAGGCGTTCTTGCCTTTCCAGATGGAGAAACTAGCAGAGCTGTGGATAAGAATGCTCCAGCTTTCCATCAAGCTGGAGTGCACCATGATCCGGCACTATCGACCACGGCGACCACCGCTATCGGTATCTCAACTGGAAGTCGATCACGCAGATATACTCCATCTGCTCACCAGCCTTGACCGGGAGCCCGAGCACAAATCCAGCACCCTGGCTCTGCACACCAGTCACTTCCAAACATACGTGAACACCGTGGTAATCATTCTTCACCGACCATACGTCCTCTCCGCACCCGAACACCTGCAGCCAGGGGAACGCAAGAACCTGCAAAGGGCCGCGATCCAAGCCTGCAAATCCGCCGCGGCTGCCATCACGAGCACGCTGAGCAAGCTGATCGCCGAAAACATGATCGAAACATCGCCGACGACGCTGGTGACCCCCATCATGATGGCAATGCAAATCCACTTCTACGAACTCGCGCGATCGGAGGGACTACTTCGCCAACACGCCCTGCACAACTTGAATCTACATTTCATGGTATTGACACACTTGAAGAAGACGTTCTGGACCGCCGACATGCATCACAACCTGTTTACCGAATGCATCAAGGCGCTAAATTCAGGCAAGGGCGACCAGAGCCAGTACGGAGGGTGCGCCAATGGTGTACAAGACCCCACAACAGCGGCGAGACCAAATTCACCGCATGGTGTTCGGGACGACCAGTGTCCATCTATGGGCAGCATGCTGGAAGCATCTGGACTGAGTGAAAGCGCCTTTGAAGAGTTCTTTGCTTCTTTTGGTCCTTTTGATAATCTCTCGTCACTCTTCGAGGACAGGTAAGGCTTCCCAGATGACGGCTTTTTTCGACCGGCAGATCCAGACCCCAGCTGACGTCTTTTCCCTGTCGGATGATAGGTTCGAATAGTACAACGCTACCGACTTCAGACTTGTATGAGCGGCTTGTCGACACAAGCACTGCGCCTGTACTCTTCTCGAACCCGCCATTCGGTGGACGGAGCCCTTCGAAGACACCGTCTCATATGCGAAACGGGTTGTTGAGGTCAAACTGATACCCGCACGACAGTTGGGGTATCTGAGAATAATTCTCCTGGAGGAGTGCCCTCGTATTCTGCAGGATCTTGTCGGGAGGAAAGAGCATGAATGTCAGCCAGCAATGAACATAGTAGTTAGTCTTGGTTATCCCTCTTACCTGCACATATGATATGTTCCAATACACATCCGTCTTCATCGTCTCCAGAAACGCCCAGGACATCGCGCCTACGCTCACGAAATCACGGACCGTCAATACCCAAGCAACCCACGCTTTCCCCGTCATTCAGCATCGTGAGCCGTGGACCACTTACCGACATGCCGACCATTAATGAAAGCGTCTGCAGAGGTCTGCTCGTCCTTGCACCCGGAGAGCATGAACACGGATTTGTTCTCCCTTCCCCATTCGGTCTGGAAGCCCTCGTCCGCGGACTGCAGTCCCTCCTCGTAATCCCCGTCGTACTGATGTTTGAGAGAGCGGAAGAACGAAGTCGCGCCCGCAAGAAGGTGGCGTGCTTCGCCTGCGTCGTCGAACGAGAAATCCCCTCTGATCAGATGGGAGGCCTGTGTGGTTCGCCAATGTAATGTGAGATTAGTCGTGTGAGGCGTGAGGCATGTGGCGTGTAGCGTGGACAGAAAATGCGGACTAGGGGGCCGTATACGGGGGAACATAGGACAGAGGACAGAGGATAGAGGTGATATATCATGTCGAATCGATACCTCACTCACCTCTCCGATCAGTTCCGCTCCCGCGCGCAGGTTATTCATGAGATTGATTCTGCCTTCGTCGTCGGTGCCTGTTGACGACACGAGGAGTTAGTATTCGTGAAGAAGAGGCGGAGTGAAAAGGAGAGGAGAGGGGAGTGACAAAAGTGATGGCTTGATCAGATGCATGCGCCACGCGCGCTTCGTCGGCTTTCAGACCCCTATCAGAACAGAGAGGTAGGGTTGGGATGTACCCACGGTATACGTATGGCAACTCCATCGCGGAACCACTGCCAGACACAGACGGGTGTTAGTGCATGCAGCATCCTGGATGTACATATGTGCAACGCAAACGTGGAGGCAGAGGCAGAGTCAGACGCAGACGCAGACGTGGACTCAGACACGGACTCAGACTCAGCCACCAAGGTTGGCATGTTGACAATCACGTCGGCCTTGTCTGCAAGCATGAGTGCATACATTGGATGCATATGTATCAGCCAACTCGGCCATCTGTCGGTCTCGCGGTCACGTACGTCCGTATGTCCGTACTTGGGCACATATACTCACGTCACCCTCGCCCATTGACTTGGCCGTTCACGTATGTACTCTCCCGGTATGGTCACGCACACACGCTCGATCGCTTGCCAGCCACATGTGATCATGCTCGCTCGCAAGCTCACTCATCGCTCATCACTCATCACTCACCTATGACAACAATCAAACAACACAAACAACACACACCCCTCAGCCAAGCCACTCACCAGCACGCGATGCAACGCACCACTATCGATCATGCCACTCCGTTCAAAATCCACGGGCACAATCGTATCGGCGAACCCGGACGAATGATACCCGCCTCCCTCCCCCCGGGGGTCGTCCGGCACCTGCCCGCCATGGCCCGAGTAATGCAAGAACAGGACACACCCGGGCTCGCTGACCAGCCAGTGCATCGCGGCCAGGATGTTATGCCCCGTGGGGAAGTGGGGCGACCGCGGGTCCGCGTCGTCCGTCAAGGTCACCATGTTGGCCGGGTGTGTCGAGAAGCCGCGCGAGACCAGGAACTCGGTCACGTTGGCCACGTCGTCGATGCAGCCTTGGAGCCTGTGCGTCGAGGTGGTGTAGTTGCAGCCGATGAGCAGGGCTTTGCGGCGCGGGGGCATTGTGGTGTAGATCCGGCCGTCAGACGGTGCCTAGATACGGAGTACAGTAGGTGATGCTAGAGGACAGAACAGCACGGCACGGCACGGCACAGTACAGTACAGAGTACAGTAAAGGTATCTCCAATGAAGACCAAGTTCAAGGTTGTTTGTTGCCTATGCATGTATCGTACGAGGACGAGGACGAGGTTATGGGCTATCAACCATTTCGAGTCTCATCGAGTGTTCTTCGCGTTGAACTATCTACCGGGCTACATGGTATTGGGTTTGTCGTTTTTCGGATGCAAATCCCCCTGATGGGTTCAGCTTTCACATTTCAGCCGCGGGAGGGGGTGGGACGCGAACCGAGAACCTAGAACCCAGAATAGCAACAAATAAGAAGAGGCGGTGGGTAATGGTGATGCGATTGTGTGATTCGGCAATCATGACTGGTACTCCATACCCGGACTCGTCCAAGGTAGAAAGAAGGAAGAAGGTTGACACGACCAAGTTCCACGCATTCCCGCATTCCCGCGACGCCGTGACTGGATGGCGGGAAAACTTTGGCGATCCCGCCGCCACCGCCAACTCGCTTGCGGTCCAATGCACGTCGCATGGGGTGAGATGATGAGCCCTTTTCCCCCTTTGGTGCCCGGGCCCTGCTAGTGGTCAGCAAACGACAAGTAAGCCTGTCCGGGTCTCGGGAGTCAGACGCATGTTTGAGAGGAAGAGGCTTGTCGAGAGTGTTAATGTGACGACCTGGTCTCGCGCGTGTCACTGTGGGAGTCATCACCGTAAAATGCTTAGGCTTGCCTTCACGAGGACACAAGATAGAATAACAAGTCCAATAGTATTCACAGCGAACGTGATGAAATTTTCGGGTCCCTTATTGCCCTTACAGTAGGAAAAGATATCTACCAGTAAAAATCCCACTTTTGCTCTTCGCGGTGTGCCTTGTCAAAAACAACAGGCAGCGCGTCAGAACGCCGAATATGTAGACCATGTCAGTGCCCGATTCCTTTGTTCCACAACAACGTCCGCCCTCGCGGGGGGATCGGACGACAAAAAGATTCCAAGAGCGCGGTTCATCAACTCGTGACACATAAAAGAAACCAAATTCCCAATCCAGAATCCCTCCTCGGAGCCTATACACTGAACCACTCGCAAATACAGTTCGAGCCCAACTGCTGCACCGTGTTTCCGTTGCGCTTGCGCCTAGTCAGTCTGCCGCCGCCGGTAGCAGCCGCAGAATTGTAGTCGCTTTCTTCAATGCAAATCGTCGGCACATCAGGTATAGGCATGATCTGCCAGTTGTTGAGCACTTGCATCTGTTGGCAATACGGTTCCACGTTGTCCTCGGGTTTGCGTTTCTCCACCATCTTGGCTAGTTTGGGGAAGTTGGGTGAGCCTACACTGGCTTGACGTCGGACTTTCGATCCACCAGTCCAATATGCTTCTTCGGTAGGCTCGCTGGGGTAAGGTGTCGTCAATGAGGGGTTCTGGCTCGTCGCTTCACTGCCATACTTTGGTCCGGAGGTCGACGACATGGCATAGCTATGAGCAGTCGTGTGAGTGCTTGAAGCCGAAGTTATTGTGCTGCTAGCATTATCAATCTCATTTGTGTCATCCATGTTTTGGTCCAAGAAGATCCAGAATTCGCTGATAGTGGAATTCCAAAAGCAGTACCATGGCTTGTCACCAATGTTCAGGTAGTTATCTTCGTCACCCCAGTAGCCCATACCTCTTCCTGATAGCTCTGGTGCAATTGGAGAGCGTTTATCCATGTATTCAGGCGGAGAGAGCTGGTCCTCAGGGACTGCAGGTCGAGTTAGTCATGAACCCGTTGGACCGGGCAAGCACTTACCGATGATGAGTTTGTCGAACAGGACGCTGAAAAACAAGGCCACTCCGAGTTCGTCATCTTCCTTGTCCATGTACGGCTCCATCGTAAAGGAAGTTCCGTTGAAGTCCGGAGGTTGCGGTCCATATCTGAAAAGCTGAGGTCTTACCGAGTAATCATCGAACACAGCTGACAGAGGTGGACGACCAGAGCTGTCGAATATGTTTATTCCAAGTCTTGCATAGTCCAAGCACTCCCACGTGCTAGCATACTGCCCGTCAATCACACAAGCATCGACTTGTTGGGTTTGATTGAGCGGGATTGTGTAGTGACCCGTTGGACACGATGGTGTGGAAGGGCCGGTCTGAGCAGGATCGGCATCTAACCATACGGTCGTAGTTGCTGCCCTGTGAGAACGTCAGCATAGGCTAATAGATTGGAGCAGGGACTGACGTACGCCTCAGCTTGGTGCTGGCCGTGTTGATTCCCAACGACACCACCGACAACACCACCAACTACTGCCGCGAGAATCACGACAGTGACGACAAAGAGTACCGTTCGCAGGGGTACTCCACAGCATGTCCTTCGCCGTCGCTTTTCAGTCAAGCCTTCTTTCCTGGCAACTTCACCTGGACCGGATCCAGCTCCGACAGCGGTCAGTTCCACATCCGACCCAGAAGCATCAGCGGCTGGAAGAGTCGAGGGCGCAGCTGATTCTTCAGTGGCGGTAGACCGCTGCGGGTCTATCCTGGCCATGTCCCCTTTTGCGATAACGTTGTCGGCATATCGACTATAGGGTGGTAATTGCTCGACATGTCCATCTGTGCCCACAATGTCACCCAACTCATTCCCGGACGAGGTAGACGCCGGCTGATATGCTTGGCCGATGCCCGGGAATCCCAGGCCGACGTGTGCCTCGGAGCTGTCATCGTCAGGTACAGTGTTCTGAGGATACATCGAATATGGGTGTTCAGGTCCGCCTTGGGGAACGAAAGGCAGTTCCAGAGGTCGAATCGTCGAATCGCTGACTATACTCGACGCTCTAGTGACCTGAGTGTATAAGCCATAGGGTTGACTGGGTGCGGTTGGTCCTCGATAAGGACTCTGGGCCCTTGGCCCCGAAAATCGAGACGAAGTGCTGAGAGATCTTCGGGTGTCTGCTACAGAGCGGGAGGAGGTTGATGTGGCTCGATGAGGAGGCGCGGAGGAGTCGGCTGGTAGAGGTCTTTTCGCGAGGGATGAACGATTGAGATTCAACGTGTTGCCGGGTAGCCCTGGCGGTATATATTCTCGAGATTCTCGTGTTGTGTCATTGTATTGGTCCACGCTCAGCTCCTCCGGGCGACTGTCGATTGAGTTCGTTGGACTTGATGCGCCTATCGAATCTCGATCGAGAGCGTAATCGTCACTGAAGACGTTGGGGTTTATAGAGTTGACTGGTGACCGCCTCGACGTGCTTCCTTCCTCCATCGACTGTGAGCGTCTTGAGGGAGGTCGTCGCGCCATTGGCGCTGCGCCACCTTCTTAGGAGGCCCGGCTCCCAGAACCCACAAACAGAGGCGGTCGATATAGAGACGGTACCGACCAGGACTTGAGGTGTGTTGATGGATTGATTGCGGTGGGTAAAAGTGGCTTGCAGGGCGGGAGGAAGACGGCGGTGGTGGTGATGATGTTGGAACTGAGGGTGATCAATGGTGAATTGGAGGTGCGGAACAGTGACAAGAGCCCAGTCTGGAGGTCTCATTAGGCTCGTTCTGCACTTGCCGTGTCTATTCCGATCTGGTCTTGGCCGGCAACAAATGAGGTAAAGACCAGCTTGGCAATACTGATCCTGCCCTCTTTGGGACTAGTGCCATCCAGGCTCGGGTCAATATTTCTCTGCGCTGCTGGCGGTGAAACCGTGTTGCTCTCTGTGGCTGTCGATCATGTTACGGGGATGTCTCCTTTGCTGATCATTTAAGCAGCTTCACCTTGATGACTATTCAGCAGAAAGAGTCTCAGCAGTGGTCCTCAGCGTCTAATTATGGCGGCGGCTGCCGAAGTGCAGGCTCTGCTACGTTTCTTAACAAAGGACGCTCGCATCCCGTTAGCGGAGGCTATGCCAAAGATCAATGCTCTTCGCAAACAGCAGCTGAACACGCCTGAAAATATTGCCAACGCTAATGAGGCCGACCTCCGGTCTATCTTCGCTGACGAGAAGGTGCTCAAGCAGGTAGCCAACGCGGCGAAGCGTGTCTCGAACCCCAAGAAGCGAGCGGCATCTGCACAATCCAGCTCTCCGTCGTCGAAACGCGCGAGGAGCGAACTAGGACCTGCCGATGATGAGGCTTTGCTTGTTCCGCCGCAGACAAATATTCCACTGGAAAAGCTAGAGCACGTCATCATTGAGACGAATCGAGCACCTCTCTTTCTCGCCTTTACCATAGCCGTCCTCGCATATACACACCCCGAGCAGCCTCTCTCCAGCCGATGGAGTCTGGCTCAAGGTGTGGTTAGTGCCGGCGCTCAGAGTAAAGCCAAGTACCTAGGCCTCACGAGTGGGCCTACTGCGGAAGAAGATGGTTGGGCACAAGGGCAGCCGAAGGTCATGATAATGGGTCGTGAAATAGCGGTGATGCGCAGGCATGTGCCAGTCGACGTGGACGGTGAAGCGACCACTCCTGGTGATGCTTTCTGGGCGCTGGACCTTGAAGCACTTCGCAAGTCGAATGGCCCGCTAATCGCGGGCAAGGATGTCAAGCGCTCTTCGGGACCTCCTATCCACAAAGCTGCCGCCCCGAGAAACTATCTCCTCAAGTCCATGATGATAATTGATCCCGACCCAGCGCTGTCAGGTGAGACGACTTATGGGAACGGGGCGACGGCGAAGAAGAAGAATACGCAGGAAGTCGTGAAAAAGAAGGAAGATGCCGCGGCCATGATGTTGAAAGCTATCGACGCAGTCTGCAAGAGTTGGGCATCTGTTCTAACCGCAGAGCAACTCGATCAGAGAGCACAAACTTGGTACACCCGCGTTCGACCCGATGTCGAGCAAGGTCAAGCCGGCTGGGGACATAGAGGTCAGGTGCGCATCGCAGACATACTGAAGCTTAGGAAGGAATGAAATTCCACCTTTCTAGATAGCTACGTTACCGATGACCGGCCTCATTCACACATAACAGTCCTGCGCAATTGATGGCTCCATTGAAGGCTACTTTGATGTGATGCAGTGCAGACAACGACCATGTTTTGATAACATCCACTCTTTCAGTCATGCTGCTCAGCTCCCCGCTGCATTATCCAGCAACCATTGTCCTCCTTGGCGACAATCTGAAGCGTTCTGCATGTTTACGGCTTTGTAATCAATTCTATTAGGGTCAATGGCAAATTCGACTGCCCCAAACATTAACGCCATAACTGTTGAGCCACATTCGCATCGGAGCCGTACTTCCTTCCTGTCACCAGCTTCAATTCTTTACCCCTTTGTCCTCGCTAGACGTTCCAACATCGCCTAGCACTCGATATTAGCTTAGATTTCGCGGCAAAGCACAGGTTCAACGACGCACCTTTCCAGAATTGCTTGTCAACTTTGTTGTCCTTCTCACTTAGCTGATTCTCTGTTCTCTCATATCGATTCTCCAGTTCTTCGTTGTGCTTTCTCACTTCGGGATCATCCTTTTCGGCGGCTGACCGAGGACGGTGGATAGCAGGAGTGCCACCCTTGCTAGAAGTATCGCTCTTGTTTCCGCTCTGGCCGGAGCTTTGGCTGGAGCTTTGATTCCCGCCTTTGCTGGCGCTTGGGGATTCTGGGCCCGGGTGCTCTAAGTCGGCTTTCGGATTCCCTTGGTCGATACCTTGCTGCATTCCCGACTGCTTACTGCCGTAATCTTGTGAAGCTAGCCGCTTTGATTGTGTAGGGTAGGAGAGAGCTGGCAAACGGCGAGTGACGCGGGCTGTTCCCGAAACACTGCGAAGTATAGGTAACATCTTGACTGTTTCAATGGGTGTATTCTGCAAACAACGTACGTGTTCAGCTGTGAGAAGTGCACGCGGAGGCTTTTGTTTTTAGCAAGATAATTAAGCTTGAAGATTTTTGGATTGTCAGACACTAAATCAATTACTGATCTGTCACCCCGTGCCCATGACTTCATTGAACGCCAAGTGATTTTACGACGACTCCAAGCAGAGAGTTCTGCGTTTTGGCTACCATACGGAGTACAGCTTACAAGTTTATGGCGCGAATGCCGCTTAACTACGGCTGAGTATCCTCCTGTTGCCAGAGTTCGAGGTACAGACACCTGCCTTTTCTTGCCAGCAGTCGTTCGCCGACAGAGCCTCTCCAGGTGGTTCCCTCAACAAGCTGGCCTGAAGCGGTGACGTAATAGTCTCAAGGTTGCGCATCGCGTGTTTTCCCCGCATTAAAAGTCGCGACAGCTTTGGCGTGACGCACATTCTTGACTCCGGCTTTGTGTTTCGTCGGATTTGGTTCCCGCGTCATCGATTTTCAGCTCGCCTCGCCTGCCTGCAAATGCATTCAGCATGTGGTGCCCATAGAAGTGCTGTGCCCTGATATGAGTACTCGTACGAGTACATTGATCGAATACTAGTACTCGTAGTCGCAGCATGATTGAACGGCATGTGTGGTGCCTGGAAGTCTAGGATAAGTAAACGAATCAGGTTCACTTGCTCTATTACGGTGTATCTCGTACTGTGAGCTGTCCTTCACTTGTGCTCTGTCCTTGCGCCACTTCTGCCACACCCTTCCTGCTCTGGCTCATCACTTCCCTTCTCATTAACGCACTCTGACGTCAAGGGACACAAACACCGAACTGTCAACCTTGCTTGAACCACTTCCTCTTCGTCGTCTTCTTTTCGAAACTGATTACTTTCTTCCCTAATTCTCCCCCTGCTCACTGCTACCATCTGTATCGGCGGACAGAATCTGCAACCATGAGATTCTCTTTCACCAAACTCCTAGTCGTGGGCTTAGCCTCGACAGCGACTGCTAGCACTTGGTTCAGTAAAGCCGGTATGCTCCAATCTCGCCTCATCCTGCCAGATTTTATGTTAACCTTTCTTCTAGCTTACAACAAGTGGCATGAGACTGAGCTAGAGAGATGGCTGTCTGACCACGACGTCCCGTACCCTACCCCTGCGGATAGAAAAGATCTTGAGAATCTCGTCAAAGAGAACTGGCAAGCGAAGGTGGTCGATCCTGCCACCGCAGCCAATGATAAGACGACGGACCACTATCACAGTGTTAAGGACTGGATCTTCGACAGGTATAAATCTACACTGCTAGGTCGTTGACACGCATGCTAATTTCGTGGCAGCTGGACTGAATCTTCCCTGAAGAGCTTCCTTGATCACCACAATATCCCTCACCCACAACCGCGTACCAGAGACAGCCTTTTGACCACTGCTCGCCAGAACTACGACTCCGTCGCCAAACAACTTGGTGAATACGCCTCTTACCCAGGGGACTGGCTCTACGCTACATGGTCTGAATCCGATCTCAAAGAGTACCTCGATGAACGTGGCATCCCAGTTCCACAGCCCACCACTCGTGACAAGCTCATTGCTCATGTCCGTCGAAATGCGCGTTTGGCTTCTCTCAACACATCCTCAGCCGCGAAAGCAGCCAGCTCTTCCTACTCCAGTGCAAGCTCTGTGGCAAGCGCTTCAGCAGCCAGTGCCCAAGCTAGTCTGAGTGATGCTCTGTTCGATGCATGGTCTGATAGCAAACTGAAAGAGTTCCTTGACACTCATGGCGTTCCTGTCCCACAAGGTAGCAAGAAGAACGAACTCGTTGCTTTGGCTCGGAAGCACCGCGCCCAGCTTGAGGCAAGTGCGTCCTCGGCATCTGGCCAAGCTGCGGCCAGTGGCTCTTCGCTCTCCGGCTCTGCTGCTTCTGCATTTGGTGCGGCCACTACGAAGGCCGGCAATGAATACGCCAAAGCCACAGATGATGCCTCCTTGGCTGCCGAGGATGCGTTCAACAAGGCTTCAGAGACATGGTCCGATTCTCGCCTCAAGGCTTACCTTGATTCTCGCGGCGTCCCCGTCCCTCAGAACAGCAAGCGTGACGAACTTCTCAAGCAGGTCCGTTTGAACCGACACAAGGCAGCCACAGGTTGGTCTGCATGGACATTTGACACCTGGACCAAAGAGAATCTTCAGAACTACCTTGCAGCTCACAGCAAAAAATACAAGAAAAACGCCAAGGCAAGCCGTGATGACCTGGTCAAACAAGCTCAAGACTCCTATGCCTCCGCTTCCAAGAGCGGTGGTACAGGTTACGCCTCAGTCACCAATTACCTTGCAAAACAGACCGATGCTGCAAAAGACACCACGTTTGACACCTGGTCTGACAGTGAATTGAAGAGCTATCTCGACAGCTACGGTGTCCCGAACTACCAAGGCTCTACCACCAATGAACTCCGCGCGCAAGCCAAGAAGCAATACAACTACTTCAAGTACGGCACATCGTCACCACAGGGCACAATCTTCGAACGCATTAAGAGCGGATTGCAATGGGTTCTCGGACAGGCTCAAGGTCCCGCCTCCAGTGCTTCTGGAACTGCATCCGCATCTGCGAGCTCAGCATCCAGTGTCGCCTCCAAATCTGCCAGCTCCGCTTCAAGCCAAGCTTCCAAAAGTGCCACCAGTGCCAAGAATGAATTGTAGGGTAGTGCAGAAGGAATGATACCCCATAGATAATTGGAGGACGACTACGAGCTATTGGATGAAGATGGGAGTGGCGTGGGTACTGGTGAAGGAATGATCAACGAATGACAATGGAACGGCTTCAGGTGATGAACAGGCTGATGAACTGTATTCTTTAGAGCTTCCAAGCTATGATAGCAATACCCTGGAATGAGAAAAGCGATGCTTGCGCCCAGATCGTCACTGAGTCTTATGATTCCGTAGATGCTCCTACGTACCAGCCTAGGCATCGTCGGGGACCAGATCAATGGAAGTCCGTCTTGTGGAAGGCCACCAACTTCCCTACAACCAAATACTGCATTCAAAATCAGTCTTGCGGCCCCTTCACTCTCCCATCCGACACGAACTAAGAACTCACCTTTTCGTCAAACCGCTCTATCCACCCGTTCAAGTTTTCCACCTGCTCACTAGTCAAATCCTCACAAGGGTCGAGCGGTCCGTCGAGGTCTTTCGTCAACATCTCTTCATCAAAACTCTGGCAGGCGAGGCCTCGAGTAGCGTCGCGGCCTGCGAAGTTCTCATAGGGGCCGCCGGGGCCGTAGAAGTTGCGGCCCGAAGAGACGTCGTAGACTTTGCCGCGGACGGCGAGGTACTATTCAGGGCATTTAGTTATGGATCGTGGTGGTGTTGTTGAACGGGATTCAAATTGTGTTGAAACCGCCCGCTTGGTGAACTCACCACTGGCGCGTTCTCCGTGCCGTTATACTTCAGTAGTGTCCGAGGCGTGAAGGTCTTGAAGACAATAGGCGGCGGTCCCGCGGGCAGGGATGGTGCTGAGGAGGGCCGTAGGCGCAGGTAGATCAGGGTGAGGACGAGGACGAGGAGGGTGAGGTTCAGCGGCGTTAGGAGGGGGGTGGTGATTGCGAAGCTTGTCACAGAACGCCAGTGTCAGCCCAGCTAGGCTAGGTGAAGGGAGAAAAACATCTGGTAGTGGTAGACGGTGACGGGGGGAGAAGAAGGCCTACAATGTTTCGCGCATCTCCTTGTTATGGGCTTCGACTTCTGCGAAGTTCTATGTCAGTGCTGTGTATCTTGGATGATGGGCGACGATGGGTCTGCGGTTGGTCGATGCCGACGGGGGAGAGCTTTACATACCTGGTGGGATGCCGCTCATGTTTGCGACTTTCGTGCACGGCTACCGCTTGCGTCTTCTCAGCGCTATGCAGGTTCTGAGTGAAGAGGGAGGGAAGGTCTTGCTCAAGGTCAATGCCTCAGCAGGTATTACTGGACTTGCATTTGCGTTCAAGTTGGTAGCGAAACAACGATGAGGATAACTCCGTGCATTCCCGCATCTCGTTCTGAGAATGGCGGGGAAGTGCCGCTGTCAGCCACCGGAAGCAGCCGATGTCAGTGGAGCATGATATGTACACAAGGTGGCAAGCAGGCTGCGGCGGGCATGGCGGCACGACGGATATCTGGCCTGGTCTTTAGATTGAAAAGTCCTTGATTACTCCGTACTAACTACTCCGTACTCCGTACAACCGTTCAAGACGGGTCCTGGTGTGGCTTGCTAGGTACCTAAGTTCACATCTTCTCCTGCAAGGGCTGGATGCCAGGCCTGTCTCTCCTCCTAGACTTCTCCCTTTTCACCTGCTTCATGCTTCCCATGAGCAAGGTGCATGGTCGACCGATACTGGGAACCTTCCACGCTCGCGATGTTGGACTACTATCGAGAATAGAAGACCGGGGGGTTGGGGCCATTGTACGTCTGGGTACCTCCATAGAGGACATTGGCGCCTCCGGAGTTATCTCCCCAATGCTCGAAGCGATCAGCATCCTTGTCGTCAGAGCCATCATCACTGCCACCATCACTGTCATCGTCAACGCCGTCGTCAACGCCATCGTCAGTACCATCGTCAGTACTATTATGGTTTTCGTCATCATCGTGACCGACGTCACCAATCGCCGAGTCGTTACCGACCTATGAGCTGAGGTGAGAATCTGTTTCGAAGCCCTCCACGATTGTGCGGCGTACAGAGTTTTTCCTCTTCTGTTCTTCACCGCCACCTTGTTCCTGCCGGTTTTTGTGTTGTCGACTGTCATGATTCTGGCTTGCGCAACGTGCAGGGCGCGAAACAGGATCCCTCGCAGCTGGAAGCACATTTTGGGGTAAGCATCCTAACTTCAGTGTAACGACGTGCCACGTATGGCCTTACCGTACCGCGGCGACGCCTTGTTGAATTCTTGGTCGCCACCAAAGAGCACGTTCGCTCCAGTCGTGTTGTTGCCGACCTGTTTGAATGTTCGGCGTCGCTGACGGTGTTGCAGGGCCTAGTTCCAGTGAATCAGGGTTGATACTCGGCGAAAGGCATCCAAAGCCACTGCAGGGGGGGTTGTGTACCGCTCGAGGTTGGCCTGGCCTTGTCCTCTCTCCAATAAATGGCGTGCCTGCGCTGTCTAGGCGGAGACTGCTGGATTGCGAACCGGGGACCTGTTCTTTGCGCTTCAGAGGCGCGAGTTCCCGTGATGGAGAAACTGACAACTCTCTGACGATCACAGTGGCACTCAATTGCTTTGGATGCGCCATCGTGTGAATTGTTGGGTGAAGAATACTAACAGCGCTAGAACTGCTTTTATCATCTCGAAGACTCTTCGCCAGATACCAGATACCCTGCTGGAGCCGCTGCTGTCATGCGAACCACCAAGAGGCGCCCGCCCACAGGGGCTGTTGCCTACCAGGTAGCTGCGCCAATACCTGCGGGGCGTATCAGAACCGGCGGTTACAGAGGCCTAAGTCTAGGTACTCCTCTTCGGGTCAGAGGCATTGCGCTCATATTCACCCACCCATCGACCCGCCGTTGGCCTGAAGACCTTGGCCGCTGATCGAAGCTGCATGAAAAGCAGGGAAATGCAAGCATTGCAGCTGCCCAGCCGTCAAGCTAGCGCGAGTGCCCCGAATAAACGTATATCAATCACCCGAATTACTCCTACCATTGGTAGAGTGGCCTGAAGACCTTGACCGCTGATCGAAGCTGCAAGAAAAGCAGGGAAATGCAAGCATTGCAGCTGCCCAACCGTCAAGCCAGCGCGAGTGCCCCGAACAAACACATATCAATCACCCGATTGCAGGTTGCTCTACCAATAGTGTGCGGGTCATGCGCGACCGAAGAAAACTGGTGCCCCGGAAAACACCTGATTCCCCCCATAAAGGACATTCGAGCCGGATTGGTTGCTGCCGTATTGAGCGATAGTGGCACAAGGTCGCTCTCTCCTCGGGCGGCTACGGTCTGAGGCTTGCGCCAGCGGATGTCAGATTTGGACATGCAGAGGAGAAGTGACGGCAAGTTTACCTTTGCGCTCCTTTCTCGGGCTCGCTCTATTGGTCTGTGCACGCAAGATATGAGGCTCTGCCAGGCCGTTGATCACATGCCAGTCGGAACATCCAGGCGGGCCTGAAATCGGGTCGGTATTGCTTTCGTCGGCACTTCTATCGTGCTGCACGCCCTTGCACATTCGCTGACACTCGGTCACCACAGTTGCCGTGCTCACCATGTCGTCTTCGGATACAATACGAGCCTTGAGTTCTGACACGTGAATGTTCATTTGGGTCATTTGCTGGTGGTTGTCAATGCATAACCGCTGGGTAGCGTTGCAAATCGTTCTAGGCACAATCAGTATGCTGCAAGCCGTGCAAGGGTGTTTGAGCCAGGGATGACTCGGATCACAGACTTGGTTTCAATTTGTAACGCCAGCATCAACGATGCTTTCTGGCGTTCGATGTCCGTCAAAATACTTCTGATCTCGGTGCGCCGCATCTTCCACATGACGGACTTGCGAGCCTTATCGAAGCTATGCATCGGAGCCAGCTTGATCGTCAAATACTCCAGATGCAGTCGACATGTTTCCAGTGAATCTTTCAGTCCCGTAAAAGGTGTCTCCTCGAATCCTTCTTTCCTCGGAGTTGTGTTTGCTGTTGCGGACGATTCGTACACCTGGCGTAGCACGCTCTGTAGGCTTTGCACCTCTGCCTGCACATTCCTGTGCTCTTCTGAGGCGTTCTTGAGGTCCCGGATGAACGTGACAAGCGAGTCGGCGACTTGCAACACGGTCAGGATACTCGCTGCGATGCTGACCGGGTCGCCCATGGAAAGCCACGCCTGTCGTCGAAAGTGATGCTGAAGCCGCATGTAAAAAAGCTCGGCTACTAAGACCCTTCCAGCTCTGCGGCGCGGCTCTGCTCTAGAGTTGTCGGTGGCTCGGTGGTTGGGTTGCTCGCTCAGCTTGGGATGGGAAGTGAGGACTCTTCTCTCAGCGGCTCCAGAATTGTCAGCCTCCAGACTTTGCTCCATTTCCACTTTCCACGGCCCACTCAAGGACAACGCATGGCCTGGAATCCTTGCGTGACGTTAATCCGCGTTGCGGCCGAGAATTGCCTCCGGAGCCCTGCCACTGCAGCGCCCATGCAGGCCAGATGCGAGCAGCGAGGCAAAGGAGGGTCGCGGCATGCGGTACGAGGTAGTGGTAGGCAGGTCATAGGGGCACACCGGTTTGCATGCATGCAATGCCACGTCGGCACCCGTTTTTCATTGGATTCACCGCGATCGACTCGCAGGGACCCTCGCAGGGACCCTCGCAATCGTGGCTGTTCGCGGTTGACGAACTGTAAGCATGTAACGGTAGTTAGTTATTCAGTCAGTCAGTCAGTGTTCAAGCCAGATGCTCTGATCTCGCACCTTCTCGTGGCGTGCTGTCGGACAGCCATCTCTCAAGGGCACCTAACTTGACTTGGCTTACGCGACGTGCGTGTCGGTTCGTGACATTCATGTCTCTCCCACCCACTGAGGTGAAAGCATAGGTAATCAACCCTCTCAGAAGGCCAGGTAGCGGTGATGAGGCGAGCTGCAATTCAGCCTAGGCTAAGCACGGCACTGTAATTTGCAGGCGTGGTGCTAGATATGTGGAGGAGGATGCGCCATGGCGGTTGTACCAGGCGACATCGTCGTCTGTGTGGATGTGGTGGCAGGCTTAGGCGTTGGCACACGGTCTGCCCCAGGTCGGGTAGGAATCTGCATCACTTTTGTCCTTCATTTTTGACACCTAGGCGCTTGCTCTTGCACTTAGCGCGGTGATGTGAAGGCCCGGTTGTGGGCGTATTGCCAACTTGTCGGCCTGTCTGAGAAACATATGTGGCAATTCGGCGCCCAAGAGGAGCTGCATTGGTGGAAATTCAATTGAATGGTCATTTTTTATTTTCTATTTTGGAACATTGACCACAAGGCATAAACATGGCTGGATGGGCTGGATCGGCGGCCAGTCCCTGAAGCTGTACATATAAGTCTTCTCTAGCATCTACGGGTCTTCTTTTCCGCATCGGATGGGAGAGATCCCAATTGAAGAAACACAAAGACTTTCCGACGACGCAGACTCTTGTCCTATTCAGTCGTTGGCGTCGTGAGCATGATCGTCAAACTCAACTTCAACTTCTTCGAGCAGTCGACTCCCATCTCTTGTCATTGCAGGAAACTCTATTCTCTTCCCGTTCTTTGGCAGCGTGCGGTCCAGTGCTGCAAAAGTATAGTTGCGACCGGTTTCCTTCCCGGTCGAACCGAGCTCGGGTCCTAAGATGCATATTTCGATGAGACCAGTACTCGCTCTCGACGAAGGCGACATGGGCTTGATTGATTCTTGTAATGTTCTGGCCACCGCCTTGTCTGTGTCGCGGTTAGTGTCCTGCGTCAAGACGACACTTGCCCTGTCTGTCAGAATGGACTCACATTCGTCTGGGTCTCTCGTCGCTGACTCGGCTAGAGAAAGGACACGAGCGTATATCTGTGAACGAGCGAGGCTGCATTCATTGCTCTGTAGGCCGAGTCCCGCGACGTATCTGATGACTTTTCGTTGCAACTCCCATACCAGTTTGACGATTTGGTCGGCAAAGGCATCTGGAGACTCCGGTGACGGCCTTGATTGCAGACTAGGGTCGGTGAGAGGAAGGCTGGGTGTCGAGAGAGACTCTTCTGGTCTGGAAATCGTCGATTGTCGAGGATATGGAACCGCATCGTTGTTTGAAACTTTGGGAAGAGGGTGAGCGGGGTGAGGGATAGATGGAATCCTGCGGTTTCGATTTGGATCTGAGACTCTGTTTCGGCGAGGTACGGGACTGCTTGAACGTGCGCTGGCTGTTGACTGGTGACGGCGGGTGACAGAAAGCTCTCGGGTACAAAAGCAGAGCAGACACCTCATATTCACCATCATCGACACGTGGGTGCAGACTTGAGGCCTTTCGTACGTGCGCACTCTTGCCGAACTAGCTATCGCAATGAAATCGTGACTGATGTTGGGCGTTGTCCCGGCGGGCTGGTGTCGCGGAAGCGTACACAGGAACACAGATAGCCAGCCAGATGGCACTGCTTGGATTCAGAGTATCCCTAGCTTCCGTGCAGGGAGAACCCACTTGGAAGTATGCAAGTATGCAAGTAACTTGTCGATGAGGAGGTATTAAAGAATTTGATTCGGTCTGGGACGATTGATGTTCGATGCTCGGCACAAGTGAGCTGGAAGTAACGGGATGGTGGATTAGGCGAATGCTCTGCCGGGCAGGACGCCCACAAGAGAGGGTCTAATGGGGCTCGGGCTGCATGGCATACATCTTGGGCGTCGCAGTGCCAAAGGGAAGAAGCCAGTGTTAGGGCGCTGCTACTTCCGCCGCGTTCAACGGGGCTAAATTAGGCATTGCTTTGAGTCAAGCGTTGCTGCAAGGCAGCTTTATCACAACACGGTCAGTTTGGAAACTGGGGAAGGCGGGCGCCAGCGACAATGAGGCTCGGTGCCGCCAAGGCTTCCAGCGCGCTCTTGCACCCCTCCTCAACATCCCTGCTCCTTCTCGCCTCCCATGCCACTGATGGTGCAGATGCATACACCATCACCTGCGCTGTCTGCAGAGCTGTCATTTCCCCTAGCCGAATCGCAGCCCCTCATCTCTTCACTTCTGCCGCCCCTATCAGAACCATGATCTCAGAGAAATTGCTGCTGGTTGGGCAGGCTGAAGTACCCATGTTTTCAGCCTTCGTTAAGCCGGCTCGCGGTGTTGTGTAACGCCCAACGCCCAATCCTTCTGTCTGCTACCCGGCGATGAAGCGAAGAGACTCGGCTACCCCAATGGATAAGGGAAACCATTTAGTCCAGCCGTGCTCAAGCTTTCGAGCCTGCTCCCGAGCCTATCTCTTTCCTCAGCCTCTTCCGATCTGGCAGCTGAAGTTGACGCTATGGGGCCTCCAGGTTCGAAATATATCCAACGTGGCAACAATTCAGGAGGCAACGTGGTGTTTGGCAGTCAGAAAATCTGTAGTAACCGTGTGAGCATTGGGTCTGACCGGAGTCTGTTGAGCTCCACCCCCCCAACGGCGATCCCGAGCTTACCGAGTTTCAGGTTCAGACTCCTCCTACAGAACGGTGATAGAAGCATTCGGCAGCGAGTGCGACTACGATGAAGTCCATCACGAAATCAAGAAGCCACACGGCCAGACCTGCAGCTGGTCTCAGCACCAACAAGACATTCGTAGCTGGGCGGACGACAGTTCCAGTTTGATGTGGCTTGTTGGCGGGCCTGGAATTGGTAAGACAGTCCTGGCAAAGTATCTCATCAAGTCACTTCAACAAGACGGTGACAAGGGCAAGAGAACAATCTATTTTTTCTGCGACCGCCAAAAGAGAAAGGATGGATCTAAAGCTGTGTTCATCCTGCGCAGCCTGATATACCAATGTATGACCATCGCGGAATGCCTTGGCAAGAGACACGTCAAGCCCAAGTACGACACGTATGGTCCGCACTTGCTCAAAAGCAATGGCGAATTGGCGAAATTGTTCTTCGAAATGATGTCGGATCCCGGACAGGGGGAGTGGTATTGCATCATTGACGCGTTGGATGATTGCGAGGATCAAGAAACGAAGACATTACTCGAGGGAATCGTTGCCGAAACACAGGGAGCTGGCGGAGAATATCCGCGCTTTCTCCGGCTTCTCATCACAAGCAGACCTTGCGGAGCTGTCAGATCGGCAATTCTCAATCGGAACAATGTGAGAGTCGTGCACTTTACAGATCCAACCGGCAAGCAATTGAATGAAGCGGACATTGCAGACTACATCTCGGACCACGTCCGTCAGTTTGAGCACTACCCAGAAGAGAAGAAACCAAGTGTGGAAAAGCAATTAATCGAAAAGGCTGGCGGAAACTTCACCTGGACCATCTCAATGATCCACCAGCTTGGCAACAAATCCCCTGACTGGTACAACAAGCTGCTGGCAGAGATGCCTTTGGGCATGGAAACCATGGTGGCGAGGATCGTCCATCGAGCAAAGCCAGAGAGCCTGTTGTTGATCCAACTGCTGGCCGTGGTGCAACGCCCAATGTCAGTCACAGAGTTAGCAACTCTTATCGCAATGAAGGGAAGCCCGTTCGATGATCTTTTCGCGCTGGTGCGTACTACCTCCGCAATGTCATTACGCGACAAGCTTCGGTTCGGCGAGGAGTCCTTGCAAATTTGTGATGACGAGATCCTGTTCTTCCATCCTTCGATGCCCGAACAGTTACACAAGATGTGGACCGAGGACATATTCCGAAAGATGCACCTGAAAGTCGCCGAGGCTTGCCTGATCTACCTTATATCCATAGATGACAGCCATAAGCCTTTACAGGGGCGACGCAAGGTCGACTGTGGCGCCGAATACCAAACAGTCCTCGGTGCTCTGCCATTGCTCGAGTATGCTGCGGCACATTGGCCGACTCATCTATATTGTGCCGGTCCAGACAGTGCAGACCGGCTGTGGCCACTCCTGGAACAAAGCCTCAGCTGCGAAACCAAAAGAGAGCTTTCATTCCAAGTGTACCGGTTCTGGCATCATGATGACTACATTGAAGGTCAGTCGCCCCTTCATATTCTGGTGCTTCACAATCTCAGGTCCGTTGTTCGTCGATTGTTTGCCGGAGATCTCCAGCCACTTCCACTGTGGGACGTCAACGCTAGGGATTCAACGGGTAGACCGCCCCTGTGGTGGGCTGTCACGAAAAGGCACAAGGACATGGTGAGCCTGTTACTGAACAACAAGAGCGTTAATTGCAATATTCGAGACCACGATGCGAAGATCTCCCCGCCCGTTCTGGCCATAAAGAGGGGATTCACCGACATAGTTCGGCTTTTCCTCGAATCTGATTCTGCCCGTATTAGTTGGAGCAGGTTGAAGTCGAATGGCAGGACATTTACTGCCTTGTACTGGGCAGCCATCAGTAAATTCGAAGACTTGGTTCTACTGCTCCTGACTCGGAAGGAATTTTCTCAGGATTTAGAGGAACCCTGCGCTAGTCAAACACCTCTTGTGGCAGCTGCACGGAATGGTTACAGCGAGATCGTCATGGCATTGTTGAGAGCTGGCGCTCGGCGTAACTCTACAGATGACGATGAGCGGCTGAGTGCATTGTCGTGGGCGGCAAGAAACGGCAAGAGGGAGGTGGTGGATTGCCTGCTCCGATACCAGGATGTCGACATCTATCTCAGAGACCCAAAGCTGGACCGGAATGCGTTCCAGTGGGCCGCAGCACACAGACACGAAGAGATAGCATCCAGTATACTAGCCGAGATGTACACCAGATGGGGCAATCAAGCTCAACAGAGGTGCATATCCCTCCTCTTGGAAGCTGCCGAGAGGAGCCAACTGGGGGCCCTAAATATTCTGCTACGGCGCGGTGGGCTCACGCCAGACTCGACGCATCGCCCCGATGGCAGGACAGCATTGTCTCTTGCCGCAGAGAATGGTCAGACCACAGTTGTTCAGCGACTTATGGGCGAGGATACCGAAGTCAATTCAGTCGACACGAATGGGAAGACACCGCTGATGTGGGCAGCTGACAAAGGGCATGTCGAGGTCGTGGAGGTCTTGCTTGAGTCTGCCAGAGTCTATGTGGACGCGGTAGACTCGAGCAGAAGAACAGCTTATGACTGGGCGCTTAAGCAAGGACGATTCGAAGTCTGCAAATTACTCGCTAGCGTGCAGCGTCCTCTTGAACACAGGCGAGGGCCTCACCGGGCAAGCGGCCCCTCCCAACAACTTCAGGGCTGAGGTGATCCTGCACTGGAGAGCAGTTGAGTGTTGCAACCATCGTTCCAGGTACTGCGAGACCAGTCGAGATTTCAAGGGGCATCGGGCGGCATGTGGCTTCCCGGCCATTCTGAGTTCGAAGCCCATGCAGTCGTCGAACAAAAGCGGGAAGCGAACTATGAGCGGCGGAATGACCGTTGCCAGAGTATCGAGTCGCAGTAGAAGGAGAGGGAAAGCAGGAGCGGAGGAAAGATGCTCATATTCTCAGTCCCTATGTGATTCTTACTATGTCATCGCTTCGGTCTCTTCGGTCAGAACTCTCGCCAGATATTCTTCCTATTTCCGTTTCGAGCACCTTCAAGCCTTCATCGGTCTTGGATGTAGGTAGAATGCGCTCAAAAGGTTCCCTGTTTGCCGGCGGAAGGTCGTGTTCCGGTCCCAAACGCGACAAGGAGATCCGCTCGTCCTGGTTTCTTTCGCCACCGTTGTTGAGACTGGCGTCTTGCGACGAGGGCAGGCTTCGCTGGCAGAAGAGCCATTGGCAAAGCACCACGGGTGTACAAGAGACCCAAAGAAATGTCAGGAAGGACGCGGGCCGATCGTCGTCGTCCTCTCCCAAGTCTTCACCGGGACAAGTCTCTTCGCCGGCCAACTTCTCAAGTGATCGGCCCATGGTCTCTGGAATGAGGAAAGAACACAACCACCCCAAGAAGGCGAACGCCCCTAGAATCTGGATCACATGTGGAAGCCACGGTGAGGCGTCAGTCTCGCCCTTCTCGAAGCCGATGCCACGCAAGGGACCGGTCAGCGCCTGGGCGAGAACCGCCCCGACCTTGCCGGATGCCGCTGCCAGGCCGTGACCTACGTAACAGTCAGAACCGAACAAATCGCATTGTGCTTACTACAGGGGATAGTGAAAAGGGCGCTTGGGGGCTACTTACAGGTGCTCCTGTATCTGGTGGGAAAGCACTCCCCAGGGACGATGAATGTGGTGGAGTTGGGACCTGCACCTACAGGTTAGTGAACCGTCCGTCGCCTTCTGGTAGTCCTGGACTTACCGCAGTTGATGAAGAACAGGATCAAAACGAAGACCGCCACCCGAGACGTATCTCCCATCCTCTCGAAACAGCTGCCAAGTACCAAGAGCAGGATTGTGATCATGGTGAATCCTCCCACCTGGATCGATTTGCGGCCGATCCTGTCGACCAGCAGTATGGCGCAGATCGACCCTGGGATGGCACCAGCGACCACCAACACCAGGTTTCCCACTGCGCCATTCCGTAGGATGGTGTACAGCCTTGTGGGATCGCTGTTGCTCACCTTGCCAAATCCCATCTTGTGCAGAAAGATGGTGTTGTTCAAGGCCAGCGCATCTGCTCTGGTGTTAGCATTCGGAAAACACATCACGACGGGTCTGCAAGGAACCCCCTGGGAAACTCACAATAGGAAACATCGAGGAAGAACCATGATCCGCAATTCCCAAAGAGAATCCAGCCATTGGACCCTTGACGGAAGTATCGTTTGAAGTCTTGCCACGAGGATTGGGGGACGACATCTGCGTTGATGCCACCTGAAGTCTCTTCGGGATTGAGCAAGGCTTGGACCTCTGCTCTGTCGGCTTCGACTCTTCCTTGTCCGGTTCTAGGTCCAATGGTGTTGTGCACCCACCCTTTGTAGTCGGCAAAGCCTTGTTCGACATCGCGGTTCACATCAAACGTGTACCGCGGTGTCTCCGGAATGGTGAGTCGACAGTACAAGGCGAGTGCCGCGGGAACAGCGCCGGCACCGATGATGATCCTCCACATGCGGTCCACGGCGAGCTGTGCAGCAACAGTCTGAGTACAGGCTCCGTCCTGGCAGACATTGCCGTCATTGTTTGTCTGGTTTCTGAAGGCTTCGATAACGATCAACGATACCAAGCTGGCCAGGAACTGTCCAAGGGCCTGGGTCGAGAAGACCGCCGCCACCATGGTCCCTCTCCATTTGGTTGAGGCAAACTCGGATGTGATAATGTTGGCGAGCGGGTAGTCGCCGCCCTGTGAGCAGACTCGTGTCAGTAAGCTGGAAGCGTAGATCGAAAATGGTGCTGCGGTGGCAATCTTTGGGCTCTAGGGGAACGACTTACAATGCCAATGCCCATCAAAATGCGCCAGAACACCAGCAGCCCCGTCATACCAATCGCCGACGAGGGGCCGGTGATGCACTGACCGAGCGTCGCCAGGCCGATTATGAGTAACTCATAACCGTACATGCGTTTCCTCCCGACTCTGTCGGCGAGCCAGCCACTGCAGACACGTCAGAGGTGATCATGTATAGGGCGACATGGTTCAATTTCTCGGAGCAGTAGAGAGACTACCTATTGTCGCCTGGGCCCGTATATTGGTCCGTCCGAAAACTCAATGACGGGAGAGGACGACTTACAAGAACAACTGGCCAACGATCGTGCCGACCGATGTCATGACCTTTATCAAGGTGTCGTCGACCTGGGGAATCTTGTTGCCATGCCTGGGGAAATAGCAAAACCCCAGCATATCCGACACGAGATTGATCGCGAAGATCTGTAGCAGTCGTCAGCAAATGCTGGCGGAATAGTAAGGAGGCTTCTGCGGACATCATAGCTGTCGGTTAGGAAGCCAGTTCCAGCAACAAGGATGGCTCGAATATGAGCCCGACCGAATGGTCTTTCATTGATGTCGCGTAGGATCAAGCGCCGCCGAAGCGTGGGATCCTGGTCGGGAGATTCGTCAGTGTGTGGCCGGTGACACCTGCAGCGAGTTTGATTACCTGTATGTGCTTGTACTCATTTTCCAGATCTCGAAAGGCTCTGTGCCTTTTGACCATGACGGGATACTCTCGACTAAGACAATGGCAGCCGTTATCCTGAAGCCCGTGTGGTATCAGGCGGACAGCTCAAGCTCAAGCTCAGGCTGGAGCATGTCCTGATGCAAGCCGCGAGACAGCACGAGTTGGAAATATCGCACGATATCGAGGTGAGGTTTGAGTTGGAAGGATCAAGTTCATGTACGACGGACTCAACTACGCGCAGTCCGCCTCGCAACCAGCCTGACGGAACAGATCATGCGAGACGAGCAGGTCCCACATCCAGCGCCTAGAGACCGCATATCAATAGCGGGCGCCTTCGGGGCGCAGCACGACGTGTAAACACAAGCCAGCCTTACCCAACCCCTTTAACGGCTGCGTGTCTATGCACGATTTCGAAGCGACTCGTTGCCCGGACTTGGTGCACAGCCGGGGCACGATTGGCCCAACAATGGAGCAGAGCGATGCAGGGTCCGCGAGCCTCGACTGAACACCGCTGCGTCGCGGCGCCGGAAGCTCGACACCCTCCTCACCAAGCCTAACCCGAATCGAACAAGTCAACAGCAACTGCTTGTGGCCTTGTTTCAAAGCGTGCGCCTCCTCGTCAGGAACTTTCGTCTTTGGCGTTCGTCCTGACGCACCAAGGCGGCAAGGTGGTTAGCTGACCACGTTGCTGGTCTTCGTATTACCATTGGCCCGAAGTCTGCCTCGCCATGTGTGGCTTGCTGAACATGTGTTGATCGATTGATTCACGACCTCGTGGATGCGCCCCTCCGCCACGCGCGGAAGCTACCGACGAACCATGGCCGTTGACGCCTGTCTCGCGCAGATCAAGAACCTAGCCTGTTGTCCAAAGCAATCTTCCCACGTTGTTCTGATACCCGTTGACGTCTTGGGGTAAGCTTTGAAGCGTTGCTTGCTTTTGCTTGATGATCTCCTGCAGCAGCAGCAGCAGCAGCAGCGACCGATCCTATGGCTGTCAACGGCGTAGGAGATGTCATCGCTCTAGTCCAGATCACCGCACAGGCTGCCAAAACACTGCACGAAGCCAAACATGCACCGGATGAGATCAAGCGCTTCATTCACGAGACCGACCGGTACCAATCATGCGTGGAATCGGCGGCAGGAAGGCTCCGGCGTCATGGCGCGCTGTTGAAGTCGCACAACGACGTGAAGAGGAATATCCAGAGTGTCCTCGAACAATGTGCAGACACGACGCTCAAGCTCCGCAAGATCGCGACCAAGTACCAGCAGGTCGTCCGGAAGAGAGGCGCCGCCACGGGCAAGGAGGCAGCCTGGCAGCTGTGGGTTGAAGCTTTCAAGACCGTGTACCACTCGATCGAATGGACAACAAGGGCTGAGATGATCGACAAACTCCGCGGCGAACTCTCGCGCAACGTGCAGATGTTGACCTGGCTGGAGGGCGGACTGGTCTCGTAAGTCCCTCAACCCGGAGCTGTGGACGAGAACTTCTTCCTGCAAGCACGACGACTTGACTAACTAGCGCGCAGTGATCGAATGGACCAGCTCTTGCTGGAGATGGAAAAGATCCAAGATATATTGACGTCGGCCATTTCCAGTCCTTCACGGACACCCATGACCAGCCCATTTGGAGCATCGCCGACTTCACCATCAGCCACCTTATGCCCCAGCAGTCAACCGACCCCTGCTGGGCCTGAACCGGATTCGCAAACTCAGGCTATGGCTCCTTTGATCCTGACAGACCCGATGCTTGACGTCAACGACGATTGGCATTTCAATCACACCATTGATTCACAGCTGACATTTCCGAAGAACTTCAGTTTCCCGGGGACTACGCCGGGCGACGAATACCGTCACGTCAAGCTTGCAACCAGCCAGGAACAGCAGCAGTTCGTGCAGCAGATTACCGCCAATAAGGCCTTCTCTGAGATGTATGTCCGGCTGTCTGGACCATGGGATCGTAAGACATGAGTTTCTGACTGCTATCTTAGTCCCGTGAAGTCCGTGTCCTTCATCTGGCAGAAGCCTGGCTCCTCGGACGGCGTGCGGATAGAAGCGAGTGATCTAGGGAAGGTCTTGCTTGTCAAGAACGGCAACGCGGTGGAAGACATCTGGACCTTAAACAACAAGAAGACCATCCGGTTTCGCCAGCGAGGTAAGCGCTTTCCGAGAAACTGCCTGACCGTGCATGGTGCGTGCTTTGTACTCACTATCCGCGCCAACAGTGCCGACATGGGACGACATTATTCCCTATTCGATTAATGGAGACGAATTCACGGCCGTGGTCGAGCAGGGAGAAGGTCTCGCTTTCTTCACAATCGAGCATGGCGAACGGCAGGACCATCCGAAAATTGCCACCACTTGGGTCAACTACACATTCGGGAGTAAAGCTGGTGAGTTGTTTCCTCCAGACCTCAAAGTGTGCTCCTATCGTCCGATCTCATTTCTGTAATCTCTGGCATCCGTGCGTCAGCAAGCAGCTCGCCCGTCTGATCATGCCCCACAGACTGCGAGCACTTCCAGGAGATTCTATACGGGTGGGATCTCCGCCTTCTAGTGCCCGTCAGCGAGATATGTCGCCCGCACACGGGACGAGATGACGACCGCCTCGTCGGATGCGAAAACGTGCGGGTCTGGGAACGTGGGCCGGAGATGCGCCTCATGGCCCATCTTATCCAGGAACGAGGCAAGCGGCGAAGAAAGTACCTGGAATTTGACCGTAAGCGTCCTCCATATCCATACCAACGGGTAGTCCAACACGCACTACTAACGTCATACCAAGTATGTCAGGAAGGCATCAAGATCGATGGTAAGGGCACCGGGCAGAAGTCCATCCTCCAGTTACGTGGCGTCAACGCCGCCATTGAGGAGTTCGAGCTGGGGAGGAAAGGCTCGACCACGTCTCTCCACTCTGTTTCCTCAACAAGCTCGATCATGCGCCGGCTCTCGTGGACTCAGAGCTCGCCTTGGCTGGATAAGCTGGACATCCATTTCCGCAGTGCAGAGCGTGAGTTGGCTCTGACGAGGGTTCTCTGTGTATGTGTGTATCTGACATGGTACCCAGACCGCGACAGTCTCCTTCACCTGGCGCTCAGTTGCAGACCGACGCAGCGGGCGGCCGCAGAGAAAAGGAAAGGCGGGTGAGTAGGAGGACTATCATTTGGAATGCATAACATCTAGCGCGACACCTTTGACGGGCATTCTGGAGCGCATCAAGCACGACGTCCGTGTACGGCAATACTTTTCTCGGAAGACAACATATAGCGAGACCCGAGAGCGAGAGACTATGACTTGCGCAGACTACCAGATGGCCAGAGATAGCCGTGGATACGTACACTGACTGACCGCCTCGACTTCCCGGTCCCATGCCCGACCACAGTACGAAGTGGGTTACACGGTCACCTGTCTGGTGCGTCAAAGATGCAGAGAGACTCGACTGGAAGGCGGTGTTGACCGACCGGACTTCCCATAAATAGATAGAAGGTCCTTTGTTAGCATCAGTTCCAGCCTCGGTCTCGAAGCACGGGCTCATTTACGAGCCGATGGCGGGAGGACTTGACGGTTTTGAAGGAAAGGTGTGACGACCAGAGCTGAGAGCAAGAGTATATGATACCCCTGTAAAGTACTTGCAATTGCTCCTGTGACGGAGTATCGGGTGGAAGAAGAGGCTGGCTCCAAGTGGTCCTGAAGTGTGGTGCGAGTGTGTGGAAGTGGGCGGCCTTCAGCCTTGTGAGGAGCCTCGGAGCCTCTCACCCAGACAGGAAAGTCAGCCTGCGAGGCTGACGGGCGGATTACATAATGACTGCGGGGAAACATCAAGATCCTCCCACGTGCTCCCGAAATTTCTGGCATCATGCAGGGATCATTGATCGGTTCATCACCATATAATACTGGGTACATCTGTACTGTGTACATACAGTACCATACATATCCACGCTGCCATCAAACTCACACTCCGACTCCCACTCCCACTCCCACTCCCACTCTCCTCCAACACCTCACGATCCTACTTCCTTTCGTCAGCCATGTTCACCGGCCTCGTCGAGACGATCGGCACGGTCAGCTCCCTCGTGCCCCTCGACCCCTCCACCTCCGGCGGCAACGGGACCTCGCTGACCATCTCGGACTGCTCTTCGATCCTCGGCGACGCTGCGCTCGGCGACTCCATCAGCGTGAACGGAACATGCCTCACAGTCACAGAGCTGGACGAGTCGAGACAGAGCTTCAAAGTCGGGGTCGCGCCCGAGACGCTCCGACGCACCAACTTGGGCCGTCTTAAAGAAGGGGGTCGCGTCAACCTCGAGCGGGCCGTCCTGGGGAGTACGCGGATGGGCGGACATTTCGTGCAAGGGCACGTCGACACCATCGCGAGCATCGTGAGCGTCACGCCGGATGGGAATGCGTTGACGTTCCGGTTGAAGCCCCGAGAGAAAGACCCGTTGCGCTATATCGTGGAAAAGGGATACATCACGCTGGACGGCGCGAGCTTGACGATCACAAAGGTCAATGACGTCGAGGGCTGGTTTGAGGTCATGCTGATCGCGTATACGCAGGAGAGGGTTGTCATGGCGGGCAAGACGGCCGGCGAGGAAGTCAATGTCGAGATCGATATTGTGGGGAAGCTCGTCGAGAAGAGCGTGGTCGGGTATTTTGAGGGGGTGGCGTCGAGAGACGGAGAGGGAGGCCCCGCGATCTTGGAGAAGATCGTGGGGAGGTTGGTGGAGGAGAAGTTCAAGTCGATACAGCAGCAGCAGCAGCAGCAGCGGTGACGATCAGGTTGGGATTGTATGAGTATTAGACCGGAACAAGCACATGGGAGCAAGCTGACGCTTGGACGTGTTTCAGTTACCAGAGCCAATGAGAGGAGTTGGTATCAAGGTGCGTTCCGTATGAGACTGTAAGAGAGGCGCAACTTGCGAGAACTGTAAGCGCTGCCTAACGTGGCTTCCTTCTCACGGGTTCTTCGAGCTCATCACTCTTGCAGTCATGGCTTTGGTTCGGAGTGATCGAAGAGATCTTGGGTATTGTCCCCCAGACGACGGACTGCTTAGCCCGTCGGTTGGTCTCCCACACCCTGACTTCATGGTTATCCCTGGTTGGGTGGTTGCCTCTGGCAGCGAACTACAGCACAATCATGACGAGGCTATCGGGCGAGTGCTTCCACAGCAGTTATTTCCAATATTGGGACGGGCTTAATGAGCTCCCGGACACAGAAACCCGGCATCAAGAACTGGATAAGATGGATGAGATGGCTCCAAGCGGTCGACGTGTGAACAGTGTCGAAGCCATCGTCGTACCTGAGGACCAAAATGGGACACTGAAGAGGTGCTCGGTGCTCAGGTAATCGAGGACATGCGCGGCACAGCCGAGATGTTAGCATCATCTCCCGGCGGCGGACTTGACCTAGTCAGGATCAAGTCATTGCCGCGATAGACACAAGCTGGTATCACCCGCGATCAGCAATCCAGCATCTCCCAATCGTGGGTTGTGCAGCCCACCATGTCTTCTGCGGACCCACTCCTGACCACCACCGTCTTGATCAAGATTCGACCTTTGACGGACGCCACGCCATCCCTCGCGTTGAGCAGGCCGGAGATGCCAATGGAGTTTACGTTCTCAGACACGTCCCTGGGACCTGCTTTCTTCGAAGTAGATCTGCTGTTCATTCTGCATCGGGAGATCCCAGCTCCGAGTCAATGTTCTCTAGGAGGACTATATTACCGGTGTGGTAGTGTCGTCAAGAGAGCACTCAGATCCTCCTCGGTGCGAGTGATTTTACTCCCTGACAGACAGTAGATGGAAAGTCCAAGTACACCGTGCCAAAGCGAAACTCATACTTGGACTTGCTTGGCCATGGAGGACCCCAGAACAAATAGTCGCGTCGAGAAGGAATACCACGATTTGCATAGTGTCTGGCTGTCTTTAGTGAAGGAAGTCGTTCATGTCAACTACAATCTCTTTGTTTGGTTCATCATCATCAAGTAAGACTGTTGATCTAGGCTGCGACGGTCGAGAGGCCATTATCAGTCATCGTCGATTCCTCTGCCGATCTAATATGGGCCCCGGGTGGTAGACATGTGGGTATGGTGACCACTTGGACATGTGGAGCTACTGAATCTCTTCGATCAGCCGTTTCAGGGGCGCCGCTGACGGCCAAAGAACAAGTATATCAAACTTCTCTTTCGTTCGGCCAAGGCGGTGGGGATATCTCGAGCCAGAAGTAGCCCTTGTGGAAGCATAGTCCTGATGACTCTCAGGTGCTCTTGCAAGCTAGGTGCTGAAATTAAATCATGACCTCGGAATGGTTTTGCGTGTCCCGAGACGGTCCTCGTTGTCAATTGTCCACGTCATGCACAGTAGCCAGGCTAGTGCGGTGTCTTCGGTCTGCACGTGTCATATCAGAGGTATACAGCGACAGCCTACCAGCAGCTTCCACGAGAGCCAAAAGGCGTAAAAAGATAGGTAGCAACGCGCACACTCCGCATATGAAGATGGCCTGCGACATAAGCGGACGAATTCACCTTGGTGCCCTCTTGTACCCTCTGTTTATCTCCTCTCGAGGCGACAGTCGCTGGCACCGTCAGTGCGCCAATCTATCTGAAGCCAGCCAATATTCTATGTGCACAAGAGGACACATGGACAGGCACAGTGTGCGACAACGGCACTCCTGGTATCTACCCGAGGAGGCTGACACCTCTGACTACATATTTCTTGCGCCACGCGCACCGGACGGACGAGGTGCAGAGACCTGGCTCGGTTGACTGACCCGTCAGATCAATATGGGCTTCTCAAATGTGAAGAAGATGGAGATTGGGTTCTAGCTATTTGGAGCGTGAAACTGCATGGGTATACCGTCTCTTTCCAGTCCGGTCTCTGGGAGAAGCTGTGCAGTGGAGTACTGACTGCTTCCGAGTGATTGAGGGCAGGTGACACCCGGTACTCAAGTATCAGTCAGTCTCCACCGCATCACGATGCGCTTGCTTCCTGTTCTAGAACAAGACACCCTTGACCTGTGGCTTGGTGGAGATATTGATGTTGCGGATCATCAGGACGAAGAACAGTGCCAGGCCCATGACACTGGTACCGGCGATCAACATCCTGCGTTGCGCAATCCCATATGCCTCCATGATGGCCTCGCGCCCGGGGCTGCCCATCGGGTAGCTCAGCTGCACGGTCAAGTCGCCGTAGATGGTCTCCCACTGCGGCTTGAGGTCGTCGGGCAGGAGTCTTTGGAGCGCGTTGGGCAGAGAATGCGTCCAGATGGCGCCGCAGATGCTGTTTCCCACGGCGCCACCCATGTAGCCGAAGAGGCCGAGCATGGCCAGCACGGCGGCGATCTGCCCGTGCTCCGCGGCCGCCATGATGGCCACCTGCTGGCACAGAATCATCGTGCTGCCCGCGAACGCGATGAAGATCTGGCACATGATGATGTACCCGATGTTGGTGTGCGGGCGGCGGAAGTGGATCATCAGGCCCACGCCGAGCATGTAGAGCGGCACGGCACACAGCAAGAGCCACTTGAAGCGGCCCGTGACGCGCATGAGGAAGCCCACGAAGAGCAACCACAGGCCCGAGATGATGTCAAAGGTGCTGCTCACGTAGCCCGCCTGCGCGATCGTCAGGTTGTTAACGACCTGCAGGAATGAACTGAAGTAGCTGGCCCAGCAGTAATACGCGATCTGGTACACCGCGTCGAGGAGGAGAGCACCGAGAATGGTCCGCGAAACGAGAAGTTGGTACGGAATGAAAGGCTTGCGTGCGAGGTATCGCTCGAAGAGGGCGAATGCAAGCAGTAGCACGAAGCCCACGACTAGCATGGCGATGATGGACCCTGATTCCCAGTCATTCGCGGTCGATTGGGCCAGGGAAAAGGGCAGAAGGAAGAGAACCAGCCCCGTTGCGAGGAGAATAACACCAAAAGCTGAGAATATTTCATCAACATATTCCTTCCCAGTGATGCTTTTGTTGGGGGCAAGGTCACTCACCGTCAAATTCAATAATGTAGAACCAGATGCTCTGACCCAATGTTCGACCGCTCTTGGGCCTGTCCAACAATCCCTGCTTCTTGGCTTTCTGCAAGTTATATTGCATGACGAGGTACAAGGGCGCAGCCACAAAGGGGGTGACGATGGCAAAGGTCCCAAACGCCCAACGCCAGTTGATGTCTTCGTAGAAGCCCTCGGAGGCGCTGGGCCCTGCAAAAGCGGTGACCATGTACGGAGAAGAGGTGACTGCGAAAGCGAGGCCCCGGTTTTTCAACTTGCTCGTGTCCGCTGTCATGACGTCCACCGAATATATCATACCGGTGAATCCGATGCTCGTAAAGACCTACATTAACCCATTCAGTGATCTGACATGACCGAATATGTGGGATTCGCTCGGCGGGGTGACATACCTGGGCTGCGCAAAATGTTTGGATGTTTGTACAGGCGGCTTGCAGGATGAGGCCCAGTGTCCCCAGGCCGACCATGAACAGAAACGCCTCTGGCCGGCCCCAAATATCCAACATTTTGGCAATCGGCAGGTAGGCAGCCCCCGTCATCACGCTGGAGACGATGTAGATGACTGGGATGAGAGAGTGGTATTCGAATCCGCTGGTCACGTATGGTGTAAGATTGGCCGTGATGGAAAACTGAAAGGCGTTGACAAAGTACAGCAGATAGAAGCTATTCAGACGGGTTAGCAAAGATACCGCAATCTCAATTGTGAAGACATACCATATGTAGGTGATGATTAGGGACGTCTTACTCCATGCCAGCGTGATTGCTTCAACTCTTTTCACGCCTTCTTGGGCATCTTGGGCTGGCAACTCTGGTTGAGCTTCGTCGTCTCCACGACTACTACTGACGGGATCGTGTGTGTGAGTCGCAGCATTCTTGTCGTCGGCATTCTCCAACACGGTGCTTCCGCGGCTTTGTACAGCGATATCGTTACCATCTGGTCGCAGAAACTGCCCGAGCGAGCTGAGCTTGAATCTTCCAGCAGCAGACATAGTGATAGTGTGTCTGACGACCAATTGTCGATGCAAATGGGAATCTCTAGTGGACGAGGAACTTCAACGTGGATGGATTGGTTCACTCAAACGGCCCAGGTATAAGGCCGTGTCGTGCTATGCCATCGAGGCCTCGACCAATTAGCCAAGCAGGGCATCGAGATCAATGATCAGGCCAGTGCTCAAGTTGAACACCGATGTCGGATCCGTCACGACATGCCAACTCACAACAAGAACGTCGTTGAGCGCGATTTGCTCGTCTGCCTCGGCTTGTACGTTCGATTAAACCATGGCTCTGGATGGCCAAGAGCGAAAAGCCTTCTGTCTTAAGATTTCCGCGGGCTTCAAAAGAACTCTTGCATCGACTAGTCTCATGTGGTCAAGCCACAGGTAGGTACATGAGCGACGGTGCAGACCGTTACAGGGATAGCTCGATTGTCATAGCTGTAGCGGCCTAAGCCCGGAGTCCAAACTGTAGGCTGGGTAGCATGTGAAGCTGGTGTGCGAGAGGGGGTGCGAGAGCAATGACGTGCTTCAGCCCTCAGCCATGACGTGCGTCCCGTGGCTCCGTAACTACGTGGTTGTCGGTAGGGTTCGGTTATCAAATCCAATCACGTCCTCATACATCAGTTTTGCTTACCCGGAAGAGGAGTACCGCTTCGACACTCTGGAGGTGAGCGGACGGAAGCTGGCATCCATTACCGGGTACCTGTCAAACAATAGCGATCGAGAACTCCGGCCACCTGGTATGATTGAGCGCCGCCAAACAAGACTTGGCTGGCATAAGTGATTACTGTGGTACAGCGTTATTGTCTTGTCGCCATGTCCACTACCGACTTGAGAGAAATGTAAAGTCCGAGGTCGGAGCAAACTCTTTCATCGCGCCCGGCACAAGCCCCCAGCTCTGTTCACTCGGTAATGAAGACGCTCTGGAGCCCCACCCCATGATGCCATGGGTGCACACAGCGAATGCCCACGCAAGGCAGAATGAAACGACGATAATCTTATCAGATGAAAATTTTTCTTGATCACGAAGACCTGGCATGGGTCTTGGGGTCTAGATGCTTGGAGGGGCTTCATTAGATCAAGCAAGCTCGGCGTAAACGGGCCGGCACAGGGTGGGTATCCCACTGGGACGTACACCGAACGTGGGCGAGTGGATCTTGATTCGTTATCTGATCAAATTTCTCCTTGGGACAGGTAGAAATTAAGTTATCTGATCCGCTCGGAGACCCCCACTCTTGCAAGAATACAGCCGCTAGTACAGGTAATGACCTTGGCGTAATTTCAGTATTGTACCCGTACGGTTCAAGGTTTCAATGGCTTTCCGAATTCTCCCATGGTCGTGTTATGATCCCATTGTCGGGATCAGGAAGGTGCTACTGTCGGAGGATGGGGTCCTTTGGTAGGGGCTCAGCTTGGTTGCATCACTCTACACGGCGAGGGGAAGGATCTGACCATGAAATCGTTCTGAGAGCGTCGATCCTTCCATGTCATCGATCGAGGCCACATCAATGCTTCCAATACGATAATGATGATATAGCGGCCAGGCACAGGCACAATCATGGATGGCAACAGGGACACCCATACACCAGCACTCGACTTGGTGTGTGTCGGTTTTGACCTCACCGGCATCGCCAACGCAGTCGCTCTGAACGAAAGAAATGGGCTCAGCAAGGATACCTTGTTCCTGGAATCGCAGTTGGAAGCATTCTGGAAGCCGCTCCGAAGTACACCGGCCTCCAGACTGAGGACCTCATTTCTCAACGACTTGATCACCTCAGAGAATCCGCGTTCCCGCTTCACGTTCCTGAACTACCTCCATGCGACCAATCGGCTCATCCTATATGCGAACAGCGCTCAGCTTCGCCCGTCGAGGGAAATGTTCAGTGATTATCTCAGATGGTGTGCAACTAGCCTTCAAGCGCAAGTCCTGTACGGCAAGATGGTCACCAGTGTGCAACCGTTGAGAGACGGGAAAGGGGACGTGGCGGTGTGGGAAGTGGTCTTTGTGGATGCCGTGACGGGAGAAAAGAATGCGGTCACAGCCAAGCAGGTCGTCTACGCTGCGTCGAATCATCCACATGTCCCAAGGGTTCTCCGTGCTCCTGCTCTCCAAACGCTCGTCCTGCACTCGTCAGAGTATCAGCAAGCCATTCCAACACTACTACGCGACAATCCAAGAGCGCGCATCGCCGTCGTAGGAAATGGCCAAAACGCGGCAGAGGCGTTTGCCCAGCTCCATGGCATATGGGGAGAGCACGAAGTCGTTTGGTTCACCAAAGACGCCGTCCTTCGGGGAGATGACGAGACGCCATTGTAAGTCGGCTTCTTAGGCATCCATCACTGGTTTTCGCTTCCTAATACTATAGCGAAATCTAGTCTGTTGGAAAGCATCACGCTGCCCAGTTCATCCGGGGCACAAAACATACCACCCGAGATCAGGAGACGGGAAGTCAATGCGACCTCGCCTTTGACCTTTAGTTCGGCAATTGAACCGCGCCTCCTGGCACAGATATACGATGCCCAGTATGACTTCAGTGTCAAAGAGCAGGACCACAAGAAGTGGAGATTCCAAATCAGGTTCCAACATGAAGTCGTACATGCGGAGAGGACTGATGACGGGCGCGTGCGACTTTTCGTGCAAAGTCCTGAAAATCTCAGAGAGCCAGCAACGTTCGATGCCGTCATTTCCGCGACCGGCTTCGGACAACACGCTCATTATAGAGCCCTCAAGCCTTTGCAAACCCTGCTCGATGGGCCCAGTATCACCGTTGATCGCGACTACCACATTAACTTCAGAAAAGCCGTCCTCGCGCCGGGGTGTGGGATCTGGCTTCAAGGATCGCTTGCCGATGGTGGAGACCAAGTAAGTAGCGAATTTTCTGTCCGTGTTACTACTACTAACAATTGGAGTGGCAGAATGACGACAGCCTTCTGCAGACTCTTGCAGAGAGAAGTAGACGTCTGGCAGAGTCCGTGCTGCGTCGGAGGACCGAGCAGACCACGTCGGAGGAGGGGAGGTCGGCAAGGCTGTAAACATGGGCCGCCTTCAGAATCGCGCGACATAGATGAGGACTTTGGAGCAGTGCATATATATACATAGGACTGTCTGCTCCTTTGATTCGTACATAGAGTATGCATTGGGTTTTCGGAGTTATGCTCCCATCGCACACTACGTCTAGTCCCTACAACTTCGGTCTCCCTTGAGTCACCAACTGCCCCGCCAGCCGCGCGAGCTCGAACTTTCTCACTTTTCCACTCCCGGTCAGCGGCACCGTGGCCGGAATGCCATCTTCTCCAAGCCAGAAAATGTGCGCCGGCGCCTTATGTCTACCAAGCTTCAGCCTGACCCATTCACGGATGTTTTCGTCGCTGGGACGATGAGCAGTCGGACCCGTATATTCTCCTGCTCCAACACTGCCTCCTCGCTGGTCTGCTGCAGGAGTCGAGCCGCTGCGTTGGAGAAATGCAGCCACGACTTCGCCGTAGCGGGCGTGCTTGATGCCGACGACGATGGCGCGGTCAATTGCCTCGTGCTCGACCAGACGACTTTCGATCTCCAAGGGATAGATGTTTTCTCCACCTAGCAGAAATAAATAGTAAGCGAGAGCTCTCCCTGTATACACACGACTTTCTCGAGCGATAATGGTTGCATTGTAACCCTTACCCCTGATGATGATGTCCTTGAACCGACCCGTAATGGTGCACGTCTTGTCCCTATGAAAGACGGCTTCGTCGCCGGTATGCAGCCATAGCACGCCGTCGGCGTCACGGATCATGACCTCGTTCGTCTTGTCCGCGTTTCTCCAATACCCCCGCTGTAGTTGATAGCCGGCGATGCAGAGTTCTCCGCGCTCACCCACCGGTACGATTCTTCCATGTCGGTCCACGATCTTTGCATGGGCGTGCGGCATGACTTGGCCCACAGTGGTGAGCTTCAACTCTGTGGGGTCGTTGTGGAAAGCGTTGAAACAAGTTGGCGAAGCTTCGGTCAAGCCTGATCACACTGGACGTTAGTCTTCAAACGGTGTCTTGGCTGAGTGACATGCAAAGCCCATACCATAACTACTGGTGAACTCGGTCATGCCGAGTTCGTTGACCATGAGTTCCATCAAGTGGCGAGGTACGGGCGCGCCTGCTATGATACCGGTTCGTAAGGCTGAGCAATCAAAGTCCCCGGGTCGGGGCAGGCTGAAAATGGAATCGAACATTGCTGGCACACCGTGAAGGGCAGTACATTGCTCCTCGGAGATGGCTGCCAGACACGCAACGGCATCAAAGGTCTCGGCGGGATAGACCACTTTTCCGCCGTGGGTTATAATGGCCAGCAGGCCGAGCACCAGGCCAAAGCAATGGAAGAGCGGTGGTGGACAGCATAGCACGTCTTGGTCCGTCAAGGCCATGCGGTCACCAATGAAGCGGCTGTTGTTGACCAAGGAGCTGGCAATACGAGTCAGTTGTCCAGTCAAACCCAGGGTTTTCTCGTTACAGGAGTGGCTCTCAGCTACTTACTGATGTGTCAGCATTGCAGCTTTCGGGTTTCCTGTCGTTCCACTCGTGAACTGGAGATTGCAAACATCATGGCAGCCGAATGCCTTCGAGATTGCTTCTAGACCTTCATCGGATTCGATTGCTCCTGTCTCTAGGAGTGTTGCGTATGCAGTGAAGTGACTGCGTGGGCCTCGCAGAATGATAATCTCCTCGATCGTGCCTGGCTTCTCCCTCAGTTGGCGGAGAAGTTGCCCATTGTCGTGGTGGCCGATTCGAGGAGTTACAAACAGTATTCTGCACTCTGTGACTTCGAATCAGGAGCGGGCTCCCATGGCAAAAGGCGTGAAGGATAACGTACCGGTGAACTCCAGAGCATATGACGCTTCAGACGCAGTGTAGGTGTTGTTTAGAATGACCAGGATACATCCCAGCCTCATACAAGCGAAGAAGACCGAGACATATTGCTCGCAGTTTCCGGCCATGATACCGATTCGATCCCCTGGGCGAAGCCCTCGAGCGACAAGGGCTTTGGCAAGCCGAATGCTTTCCTTCCTGAGACGGGCGTAGGTCCATCTGCAGCCTGTCCACGGAACCACCAAGCACTCTTTATTCCCATACCTCTCACACTGGAAATCTAACAGTTCGCCGAGCGTAAAATCTAATAATGGCACCTCCGAACTGCCATGAAGAATGGACAGAACCGTCGGAGGTGGAAATGACGTGGTCTCAGTGGTGCTGGCTAGAGACATCGCAACGGGAAGCTCAGAAATCCTCGGTAGTCCCAATGTTCAGCCTCCTCCTGCTCTAGAGCCCAATCTTCAGTTGTCGACGTTATGTTGACATTGTGCAGCGCATCATCCACACTCACGTGGTCTATCAGGCTGTCATGTTCGCAGCTTCTGGAACCTGACTCTACGGGATCTCCGATCTCGGTGCGCGTCGCCGGACAAGAAAAGGTGCACCTGCGTTGAAAGAAATTACTTCAACCCGTATTTCACCCTCGGCTTCGACTAAGGTGGCCCGGGATAACCCTGGAATAACCAGAGCAGATTCTGCCGAGGGAGAACTTCGCTTCCGCATTTTGCCATGCGAGAACGCCGCAGCAGATCAATCAAATTACCTCATTCGAGACATGTGGCTTGAACCGAGTAAACCCATTCTGGCTTTGTTTGTGAAGGTGGCAAATGTATCCACCGTCACAGTTCCAATCAACAATCAGATCAGATAAGATGGACAAGATTGAAGGACAAGATTGATAAGAGAGCTTGTGTCGTGCACATCAGTCATCGCTGGCATTACATGGGTGCATCCGTGGTCTTGCAGTCCTTGTTACTTTTCTAGTGCGCCACTTTTTCACGCTGTCCACTTGTTGGGCAGGACCGAAGCCGTGGGGGGCTCTTGACTGTCAGCCATGAAGTTCCTAGCGATACCTTTGCACACTCCTCTAATGCCGAAATGGAGTTGTGCACCAATGATGCTACAAATTGTGACCTTGCGACGAGAAGGGGAAGTGCGTGATGGGATAAAGGGTGACCGCAGCCTTGACGAGCTCCACTAAATGCGCTACGCTAACCAACACTGGAAAGAACTCTCGACACAAGCGCGGTATTTCAAGCATTTCAAAACGTCGACATTACAATACTTGGCTGACATGGGCAAGAAATATTTCCCGTACTGACATGCCTCGCTCGGTGAGGTTCTCGCCTCGAGGAATTTGACTTCGAGAATGTAGCGAGAGTGGCGATATAGGTGTTCTCCTGCCATGTGCTCGATTGACTTCGTGCCCACCTGACAGGTTGAGGATTTGCACGGTAGCGACACACCACAAGGGTCTCCGGACGTGCAGCGCCAATATCCTCTCATAACTTCGAATCGATCCAGTCTGGCGACCGTTTCTCCACAAATGCCCGAATCCCCTCTGAGAAGTTGGGTCCAGCCATGAGGCGAGGGTACCATTGATCAGCAAGAATCGACACGGCCTCCTCCACGCTCCCCGTTTCCCAGCTCTGCCGAATACCGAGCCGGCCAACAATCAACGCATCCGGACTGTTCCTGCACATGTCCTGGGCGACTTGAATTGCCGCGGGAACAACTTCGGCAGCTGATTCCACCACGCGATTGATGAGCCCCCAGTCGTGAAGCTCCTTGGCGCCCACGTTTCTGCCGGTCAGGACGAGATCGGTGGTACGGTGCAGCCCCAGTGTCCGTGTCAGCCGTGGTAGACAGCCTGCCACGGGCACGATCCCTCGCTTCGCTTCCGGTAGGGCAAAAATGGCCGAGGAGCAAGCGATGACGAGGTCGCAGTTGGCCACCATCTCGAAGCCGCCCCCCATGCAGAGACCATTCACCGCCGCAATGATCGGCTTTTTACCAGCTCGACGGGGCAGCCCAGCGAGACCAGGAGCAGACATGTCGTTGACCACGCCAGTTTTGTTCATCTCGTTCCATTCTGTCCATGGACATTGTTCTGGTTAGTGGTAGTCACCAAGAAAGATGTCGTTATCGAGCAGTCCTGGCACCTGAACATACCTTGTAAATCTGCGCCAGTACAGAAAGCTCGCCCGACGCCGGTGATGATTCCGACCCATAAACTTTCATCTTGGTCGAAAACCTCCCATATCTGTTGGATTTGGCGACTCGTGGCTTTGTTGATACTGTTCAGTTTCTCCGGTCTGTTCAAAGTGACCTGGACGATTTTGTCATGCGGGAAAGAGACGTGGAAATGCTGAAAATGTAGTGGCCTTGATCTGAGAGACATGGGAACAGGCGTCCAAGTCGATAGCTTATCTCTGGAAGCAAGAACTTTGTGTCTTTGGGCCTCAAGTATATATCAACTTCTTTCTTAAAATGAGGATGTAGCCACCGAAAAGCTTTCTGCCAAGGTGTCCGACCCTCGGTCGGAGGAGAGCATTCAGCATATCGCCAAATGCTCACCAAGTTCGGGTCGGTCGCACGCCCATAATTCCACAAAAGCCCACGAATGAGGGGCCTAGATGGGGTAGTGGGGGACAGGCCTCGCTACTTGCCCTTTATGTAGGTCCCAGTCATCGTCCCACCCTCCTTCTCTCAGAAAGCTCCTCTCTCAGATCCTAGCACCAGAGACAATTTGTCAGGGCAAGACTTTTATATCGGTGTTACAATTGTCTCGGTGCAACTCTTGCACCATGGCTCACAACCCAACATCTTCATACAAGTGGCCTCTTGTCAAGCTGCCACACCCGTTTCTGACCACATATCGAGTGCACCCTGTTGCGGAGACCAAGCCAGCTAGATTCATCTTGACAAAGGAGAGCCAGCCTGTGGAAGGACGATTGTTGCCAAAACCGTTACATAGCGACTCGCTCTCATGGCTCGAGCTGTCGTTCAGGCCAAAGGACCAGGTTCCACCCGCCTCCAACAACAGCGCTTGGGCACGAGCAGTTCGGAGTCCTCACACAACCTTCAAATGGGCGGGAAGCAGTGCGCCCTCGCTTGGTCAGATCTGGAACGTTGTGCACGCGATATATCTCGCCCACCCCACCTATGAGTACTTCAGACTCAGTCTG